CCCCCCCCCCCCCCCCCCAATTCAAAATTATAGCACCTCTTCTCTTTGCTTAAACATGCATCATTAGATTCCGATTTTTACGCTGATCACGAATATCTATTTAGTTTTTCAATTTGACAAACCATTCATGGAGAAAAACGCTAGATACTAAGATGATCTAAAAATCAGCAAAAAATTGTTTTACAACAAACAACGTGTATTTCTCTAATGTTACACGTTTCACTATCACCAATATGATTTTAGAATTCCTCATGGAAAAACGAGTCTGGCAGCAATATATATATATTGCTGCTAGACTTGTTTTTCCATGAGGAATTCTAAAATCATATTGGTGAGAGTGAAACGTGTAACATTAGAGAAAAAATATACGTTGTTTGTTGTAAAACAATATTTTTGCTGATTTTTAGATCCTCTTAGTATCTAGCGTTTTTCTCCGTGAATGTTTTGTCAAATTGAAAAACTAAATAGATATTCGTGATCAGCGTAAAAATCGGAATCTAATGATGCATGCTTAAGCAAAAAAGAAGAGGTGCTGTAATTTTGAATTACCCCCACTTTATTAACATTCAAAAACATTTCATTAATAGAGAACATGAAAAACGTTTTTGCATCGCCAGAAAAATAAAAAACTAAAGCTAAAAACAATAATAATAATGTAATTACTATTAGAATGATCGAAAGCTGAAGAAGATTGGTGAGTGAGTTTTTTTTAGCTCACCCTTTTGTCCTTGGATTAAACAATTGTTTAGTCATCATCGGTTAACCAAGGCTTAATACAAATTTGCTCCACCAAGTATGCAATAATAATTAATGCGATGCGAAGCAGAAGCATTTATGTAGTCCGCCGCGCGTTTTTTTATTTTTTATTTTTTATTTTTACTCACTTGACGTACGCATCGCAAGTCGTCATTTTGTCACGCGATGATCTCGAGAGCCGAAAATCGTAGAAAACTCGTTGAAACGTGTGGTCGAAGTATCAAGACCGAACTAAGAACATCTGTTTTAGAATCTTCAATCTGTAGTTTCGTTCATTCATAGATGTGCTTCCAAAATGACGAAAATGAAAGAAATTTATCAAGAGATAACTAAAGCGACGTCATGAACATATGTTAGCCACTGTAGTCTATTCATTTACAGCTGATCTAAGATAATGAATCATGGAGATAATTAGTCGATCAATTGAAATCGATCCCTAAGAATATGTCGCTAAGTAAGAATAGAGTTTTCTCAGTGATGAATTTCATCATGTCGACATAAAAAGTAATCAAGATTTCTCTGAATTGAAGATTTTTCGTGAAGATCCGATTCGAGCTTCGCATCGCATTTCGTATTCGAGTGAAACTTGAATACCATCTAGTTTCCTCAGCCTACTTATATACTGCATTTCTCAATTACGTCTGAAAGTCGGATACTTATAAATAGAATAATGTCTTTTACTTCTGGACATAAGCATCAATATTACAACTTATCAGTTAAATTCCCAATAAGACTTACATAAAACTGTGTTTTAATGAGTGCATGACAAATCTCAGTGATAATATCATTGGGATTTTCAAAAAATCAAAGTGTCATCTATCCGCATATAGATAGATAGCCACGTGGGTAGGTAGGTAGGTAAGTAGATAAATGGTAGGGACGTAACCAAGGACTCTAGGGAGGGGGGCTGAGTCTTCCTACAGAGATCTTAGCTCCCCCTAGAAAATATAAAATCCTGTGAAAAAATAAGTTTAGTCCCCTCGCTACAATTTTTTTCTGGTGACACACCTAATAAATGGGTAGATAGATAAATAGGTAGATGGATAGATAAAACCTGTGATCACGTAACACCTGCAAGAGATCAACATGTTCAAAGAGACAGAAGGCTTATCAGTACTCGTTGGGTGGTCCTGCGGGCCATCACGCGCCGAGGCTTAGATAAAGGTGTGTGCAAAACCTTTGGTTACGTAACACCGGTGAGTACGATTTTTAGTCACGGTTTCGGAGTGTTTTTTAAACTAGTCGTAGCCAGGTGCGACCGTGACCACTACCGTGACCGTGACCATTACCACTTTTCATGTCCCTACTGTCTACTCATTTATCTATTTACCTACCTATCTATATGCGGATAGATGACACTTTGGTTTTTGGAAAATCCCAATCATATTATCATTGAGATATGTCGTGTTTTACGAATGTTGGAATGTCAGAGTGTTAAGAAAGAAGCTCTCAAAGTTTTTTGTAAACTCTTGAAATACCAATTTACTAATTCAAATTAATGAACGTTTTCCAGTAGTTCTCTATGGAAAAGTTAATCGAAGCATAACAGAACACAAGACCTACCTATCATATGGTGATTGAGTTATTCGTGGAAACGTTTTTTTATAAATTGTTTTCTATCGAGTCCTCAGATCTTATAGTAAATATAATTAGCTTTGTTTTTTTTGTGGGTTCACAAAAATAAGTAATGGAGCATTGATGTAGGAGTAAATAACAAGTCATCGCATTATTTATTTTAAAAACGATATCAGAAAAGGAAAAATGTTTTTCATTTAAGTGCTAGTGGTCGAAATTCTGCTCGTTCCAAATGTTTTAAATTTCGCTGTTGGTTTGCATTAGGTAAACGTTCGAAAGCTGTTTGTAATATTTGTATTGCATCGCCATGACTGACAAGAAAAATCGTTTGATTATCATATTTATCTTCGAGTTCTTTAACTAAAGCTGTTGTTCGTTCACGCACACTTTCAGTCGGCTCAATTTTATCATTTAGATTTTTTTCAGGATTTTCGTCATCATTTCTCCATATTAAACTATAGTTTTCATCACTACTACCATCATAAATACCAAAGAAACGTTCACGTAGACGTTGATCTAATTGAACAGTTACTTTGTCATCGTTTGATTTTGTAAGATTTGCAGCGATAATCTCAGCTGTTTCATAGGCACGCCGAAAATCACTGGCAATAATCACATAAGAATTGCAATTAGAAGGATGATTGTCAATGAATAATTTTGTATTTTCAACTACTTGAGTTCGACCAAACGGTGAAAGTCCATGTGACTTAATGCCTATGTCAGGATTACTACTGATAACATGAGCTACATTCGCTTCTGATTCACCGTGGCGTACACCGAAATATTTATTGCGAAGTTTACTACACTCACATAGATGATTAATAAATATCATTTTTTAAATTAAAATAATTCTATATAATAAGGTCGCACGCAGTTTTACTTTGATGATAAACACGGCGTACTTCACGGTCATATGAAGTCAACTAGAGCTTACTCCAGTTCAGTTCACTTCACATGGCCGTACTTCACTTTTGATTCGTTTTGAATGGTGGCTAATTGTGACCATTGTATTTTATTTATGTAAAGATGTCCTTATTAATAGCAAAACTTAAGCGAGCAATGTCATATCTATGTGGAATACGAAAGTTAATAAAATCCAAGTTCATGAGGGAAAATACTCGTCTAATTAATGAACTAAAATGAGCTTGAGGGCAGGGACTCCGATTAGAGGGGGGGCTGTGGGGGATCAGCCCCCCACAAAATNAATTAAGATGTTTCTTTTTCTAGCAAAAATGTTGTTTTATGCATCCTATTGTTAAATGAACATTCTCGTTCTGCAATTATTCGTTTCTATTGGTGACTCCGCTGTTCATTTTCTATTCGTGCCAGAAAATCTTTAATTTCTACCTTTTACTTCTGTTGAAAAATCTAGCGATTCTATTTATTTCTGTCAGAAAGCTCACTTTTTCTATTTGTTATTTCTGCCAGAAAGTTCACTCCACTCTATTTGTTCAAGATTTCATAAAAAATCCAGGGCGTGCAAAATCACGAAATGTAACATTATTTTTTGAATCTGATCAATTGAAACAGAAAGATGATGAGTTTTGAAAAGTTTTTTGAAATATTTCTTTTTATAAATATGTTGTTTTTACTTATTTTTAATAAAAATGAACTTGGATCATCTATGCTAGATGATGATATTATATATCAAGGATGTTCTTTTTGACATATACTGGCTGCCAGAAAAAGTGCTTTCTGCCAAAATTTAGCCCCCCCTCACTTCGAAAAGTAATCGGGAACCATGCTTGAGGGGACTCAAAAAGCTTTGTTGATTGCTCTAGAAATATTTCAGGTTTTTCCTATCTTTTTTTCTGACAAAGTTGTCTTGGTCTCTGAGTACATTTGAGAAGTTGATTGTCGCATGTAGTCTTGGAATTTTCTATAGAGACAAATTTAAAAGAAAACTGTATTATGAAAATTTCAGATCGTTTCGTTCTTTGCAATTTAATTTATAATCACAATAAATGTATGACGTATTTTCTAAAAATTAATTTATTTCTGCACGACAGAAAAGAAAACAAAGAAAAATTACACAAACATGTAAAAACGCTCGTCTGAGTTAATCTGAATGTTTACTAGTTTCTTCTTCAGACTTCAATGAATTAAGAATATCATGTAATTTAATTACAGTTGGATGATCATTTGGCAAATATTTCTGTAGACTTTTCAATGCATGTTCATAATAACTTTTAGCTTCACAGATTTGTCCTTGTTGATGAACTATATAGCCGAGGTTAAAATAAATTCCAAACGATAGTTCACTGTGAAAGAGAGAATTTTCTGGATGATTTGAAATAACAGTTAATCCACGAAAAACATGATCAAATGCATGACTAGTCATATTCATTTTTTGATAAGTCAATCCCATATTTGAATATATTGGTGCAAACAGTAGATTGTCTCTCAGTGCATCATGTTGTTCATAATCTCGAATTAGCTTAATTGCTGATTTATATTGATGTAATGCGGTATTGAAATCATTTAAAGCATCATATATGATTCCCATATTATAATGTAAGAGAATCGGTCGAATATGTTTAGCTCCGGGCTTTAATGTTTGCTCACATAGTTTTCGTGTTGATTTAAATTGATTTAATTTATCTGAAATATTTGAGCCTACAAGAGCTAGATAATCATCTTCGCAAAATTCATCTGTATCAATATCTTGGATACAATTAATTAGTTCTTGATCATCTTGATCAAGTAATGTTAAATGAATTAACCAAACTGATGGAATTTCGGGAAGTGCTTCAACATTACCAATGCGATATATACTTGACATTGATATAAGATAATCTTTTTCATGAACAAATTGACTTACAGTACCAATATTAGCATAGAGAGCATTGGATTCATTTGTTTGTGAGACACAAATTTTAAAAAGAACATTAACATTATTTGTTGGTGAACGTTTAAAAGTTTGATGTTCGAGAAACATTAATGGGATATTTCGATCTGTATTTGCAAATAGAAATTCATTAATACACATAAGTCCATTTTTATTTGTTCGTAGTTTCATAAATTCATCGTTCGATACTGATTGACTAAAATACAGATGAAGTAGATCTGACGACGACGATAACTGCTGCCTATATAATTGTTCAAGTTTATCATTAAGATCATTTAGAAATGGACTCATCATACATAACGTTAGAAAATCATGAAGTTGCAATGCTCGATTAATAATTTCCCGAAGAAAATTATCTCGTGTAAACCACCATACAGGGTTATGTTGTCCATAATCATTTTTCAATTGGTCAATTAATTTCTCGTGATTTTTATTTTTATTTTCCATTCGACAATAATCTATCATATCTTGTTGTTTAATTGAATTCATATTGGCTAGTATTACTTTACTTAATATGGCATATAGAAATGATAATTCCCGTTCATCGTTTTTTTGCAATAGAATATTTCTACTTACAAGATCAAATTGTAATTTTTCACATTCCGATAACGATTGACCAATAAAATGTTTTCGTAAACATTCACATAGATCTTCGATTTTTGTAAAAACACCTTCAATTTTTCTGTATTGCTTCGTCCATGATTCATATTTATGTTTGTTCATACAGAAAATATAGATCGAATGAATTTGTTCAAGATCATGAATTAATGGTACAAGTTGTTGTCCCATAGTACCGGAAACAATAAGAAATACATTATTAACACATTTGATAAAATCTTGACATTGATCTAATTCATTGAATGTATGTATCAGTTTTCGCTGTTTATTTACAATATGTCCCAATTGAATTAATGTATTTAGATCGTCATTGGAATTTGAATTTTTCCCAATTGATCCATCAGACCAAACAACAACAGGCGAATCTACATATGTTCCATTTAAATTTTTATCAGAATGAACAGTTTTGAATAAACAAACACGAAGATGATGAAATTTATTATTTGAATCTTTACCATGAATCGGACCCATCTAGAGAGAATGCGTATAAGTAAAATAAACGTTTAATTATGTAAAATAAAGGGGCGTTCATCTAAGTAGAATATACGACGTATATTTTTTCTTTATTAGGTTATTCAAGATTATCTTTCTTCACTGAAAATACAATTTGAATTGCGACGGTAGAAGTAAATAGAGCACACATATAATATATATATATATATTGCTGTTTATTTATATATACACGTGGGCCATATCTTGCTAGAACGTAAATGATTAATGCATGCTTCGATGATTTTTTTTTCTTGTGCGTATGAATTAATCGTGTACGCAATTTTTTTTTCATTAAAATATTTCGTATAGTAATCATTGACGTATGAGCATATTTTAGGAAGTAATAAAAAAAAAACATTTTTTTTCGAAACGAAGCAATGGTTTTGACTAGACTAGTTTCATTCGGATCAATTTATATCCATATTTATTTTATAGACTAGGGTATTAAGAAGGAGATTGATATTGAATCAAAAGATTTTTGTTGGTTTTTTCCTCTCGCAAAATAGCGATAAAATATACAGTATGCTTTTGTGATTATAATAACTAGGTATTATAAAAATCCTGCGTGTACTATTTATTATATACAAAAATTCCATGCGCCTTTGCCCGTCTATAATGTGATGATATTAATCGCTATTCACTAAGTCGATTAATAATTCACATATCTTTGGTGTTATTTTCTATTGAGATCATCTACTTCGCCCTCTTATTATTATTTTAGTCAGTAAATTGATGAACTTTCATTCATCTACGACTCTATTATTTCATCCGAAATATCATTTACCATCGCATTAGACCACTCGGAATCACATCTCAGCGGGATATGTCGTTTCGTATCACCTAATTATGTTTCTTGTGAAGTAGAACGGAAAAAGAAAGAGAATTATTCTCCAAGAAAATAGAACTGCTAGATCTAATACAAAATTCAGATATGGCACATTTGCCTTTTCCAAGATTTCAAGAAGTTAACACTCCTTTCTATTAATTTTCTTAAGTTTAACTTCGTTCTAAATATTCTATGAATATCTTTCAATCGACTATACTTCGTTGTTTACGTATACTTTTCCCCATAGAATACGCTTAAGATGGTTAACAACATCCTGTAACAAAATCAATGCTACTAGAGTAATGATAATTTTACTAATTGATGTTGTATAAAAAATAAAGCTACTATATATATATATATATATATAGCAATACAATTATATAGAAGACTTGTTTCTAATGATGAACCAAGCTGATAGACATACATTTATTATTCTCATTTCTATTATCAACAATTTACAGATAAAAGAAATCGAACACATAGAAATAACCACAGGAGTAGTGAGTTACAGACGGGTTAGGGAGAAAAGCAGCAGTGACAAAGAAGCATACCATCTTCCGGAAAAATCTTTTCAACATTTCACAGTACAGTTAAGCAAAATGTAAACCTCATATAATCTCAGATGAGTTTTGGAAAGCATTTTTTGCGTATGATTGTCCGTCTCTTGCCAACATCTGAAATCCAGCATTACTGTGCATCGTTTCATTTCCTTCAAAAAGATTTGGATGTGATGCTACAAGAACATTAATTTCAGTATTTGCTGCTGTTATTGTGATCCTACGCGTTGAAGTTTGACCATTTACAGTCGACAGTTTTCTTCCGCTAGGATGTGGTGTTAGCGATGATCGCGTTCCAAAATAATTCATAGTTTTTTGTCGATGTTTCGAAAATGTGACACAAAAATGTTCAGTTAACACAATAAAAAATAATGGATTAAGTATGCCTTCAATATGACTAAGTAACACAACAAGTTGATGTGCATATTTAAGAAAACGTTTTAATAGCGGTCGACGTCGTATTGTTTCGTCCAGGAGAAAACTTGTATAAAATTTAAATATCCAAAATGGTGTATAACATATTAAAAATGATAGAACAATGCATAGTACAAGTTTAACGCCTCGTGTTCGTCTTTTTGTTATCATTGCACGCGTTAATTTTCGTTTACGATTCAACCATTGATGTAAAAATCGAAGTAATTTCAAGGAAAATAAAACAATTATTGAATATGGGATAATAAAAGCAATTATGTATAAAGTTATTTCATAGATCAATAAAGCACGTTCAGATAGAACTGAACGGCATGTTAATATTGGTGTTAATGTTGTGGCATTCTTATTTGTACTATTAGCTTGATCATAAAGATATGTATAAAAAATAAATGGATAGGGTAATAGTAAACCAACTGTCCATATAACCAATAGGGATATAAAGGTAATTACTAGACGAAATTTTGTTGCTAATTTTGAACGAGCATCAATATAGCGTTCCACACTTAACGCTGCCACTGTATAGACAATAACCTAACAAGAGAAAAATATAAAATTCATTTCAGCTGTTAACAAGTAGAGTCAGATTTTGATTTTAAGAATTCATCTTTGTAAATTTCGAAAAATATGATATCATTTCAACTAGATTTAATACGATTAAGAGAATAGTATCTGTGATGGATAATTTTGTGAAACACGATCTGAAAGCAGTGTTGAAGTATGTAGGGTAGAAATTTGGACGCCCCTCCGCCCCTACAGACCGTTACAGAGAAATTAATTAATTATTAAATTTCTCTGTAACGGTCTGTGGTGGTTTCTGAATTCTCTGTAACAGTCTGTAGTGGTGTTTCCAGAGGCTTCATACATCATAATACAGACTATAACAGAGAAGCTCCACAGACTATCAGTGACCTTGACAGCCGAATTCCAGAAAAGAAGTTTCATCGTGTTTCACATTTTTGAATTCCACAGGGATTGCGCTAACAGCTTTTTCAATGCTGGAGTGATTAGAGACAAAAAACAAAGCTTACCATTAATTATTATTATGTGCTAGACAATTAGCCGTTTAAGTTTTTTTTTAGACTCTGAGTTTTATTGTTAAGAAAATAAACACTATAATGAATTTAGCGCGACGTAAGAATAAAAACATGCAAAAATGTAATAGTAATTAGTTGTTGTTGATGTTGTTGCTATTATTATGATTCAATTTCAGAACAAAAATAAATAGCACATTTAGAATTGACATAACAAACACCTCACATAGTAAATAAGATGTTTTTTGAAAAACAACATGATATCATCAGAGAATTCTTTTCAAGGTTCTGTCGATAATCCTCAGAGATATTGTGTGTTGTTATTGCGAACTGTTTATGATCGTTGCTAGTTTTTTTTGTTATATCAATGTCAAACTTTGTATTTATTTCGTACTCAAAGCTCAGACATAATAATTAGCTGAGTACACATGAGTTTATCCTTTTTTGACAACCTATTTTCCTCGTTGATTGAATCGGATAGAAGAAAATACTTTAATTTATCTCTGGTCAGTGACAATTAGATCGACTTACGAGAATGACATGAGCCTATAGGAAATAATATTCCTGCTTATAAATACTACTTTTAAAGGTCATTAGAGTTTGCTTAATTCTTGATTTCCACGTCAAAAATACCATGAAAAATAGATATTTCTAATTAATTTGTCTAGCGCTATGAGCTCATGATAGAAATACTTAAAAGAAAAACTACTCGACTTGAAACTTCACATTCTGAACATACTCTTTATTCTTTTTCAATGAGAAATATATAGCTTGAAGTGTTTCCTGAAAAATAGTTTAAAGAAAAGTTAAGAGTATAAATCTTTCATGAAGACTAATAACACTATTCTTAGTTGTGATAATCCTTGGAGATCCAGCGTAAATATCGTGACAGTTTTAAACAGCGATATGATCTAAATACTAATCATGCTCTTCTATTTATACGGAGATTCAAATATTGTTCATTTTCAATTTTTATCCCGAATAGATTTCTGTAGTTTTTAATACTAATAATTCTTTTCTAAATTCATGCGGATTAGAGCATCCTGTGAGACCAACGCCTAATTTCATATGACATAAATTCTGTAATTTCGTTTGAACTAAATTCTGATATGTTTTTACATTTTAGCCTGTGAATCTCATCTATAATCAAACGGTTTCGCATCAAGGAAATGGAAACGGAAATGCATCTCCACATTTGAGTTCATCTTAAAAGCTTTCTATTGTATTACGCATACTTGAATCGACAATCTTTCGTGCTTTCTCAATTCAATTTGAGAAATATTTAAAAAATCTTAATTAAAATCTTAACTTACCACTGTACAAAGAACATCGATAGTTAAACTAAATTTACAACCAAATTCTCCAAATATCCAACTCGGTGTAAGTAAATTACTACTGAAAAAGATAATACCCACTGAAAAGAGAAAAGAAAATTCAAGCATTAATTTATCAAGAAAAAAATATCCTTTCGTCAAATCAACATACTTGCATGAATCATGTCTGCAATTGCCAAATTAACAACAAGTATAGCAATTGATGTTTTGTCTCGTCTCGAACGAATATAAACAATTGCCAATACATTAAGTACAATTGTTCCAATAAATATAGCAGCATTAGTTAGCACGAATAAAATTCTCAGAAAAACATTTTCCATTATTCTTTTTTCGAAAGATGAAAATTATAATACTTGATAATATAAATAAATATATAGATAACAGTTAGTGGTTAAACAATACTCGTATTGATCAGCATCTATTACATATCGCAATAGATGAATAAGCAAAAGTGAGACATGAATATAAATTAATTACAATAGAATATTATGCGTAGGCCATTGCTATCTATTAAACAAGCTGAAAACGAAAAAAAATATTATATGCTCGAAAAATTTTATTCCATCGAATCACTCTACATAATTGAATTCGATAATATTGTCTATTTCTAACATGTACTGCTGTGATATTAGATAAATAATATAGACGCAATTTACATTCGTCAAAACTGGAAACATGAGAAAATATACTTTCTGTCTTTTATCGTAGTCAACCGTGTAAATGTTTGAACATGAGTACTATGCTTCATTAAGAAAGTTTTTGTCATCGAGAATATTCTAATAAAATGAACATCTTAATAATGGAATAACTATATGTTTTTAAAATCGAGATTTACTCTAGCAGAAATGAAAATATTTCATTTATATGAGAACGTCATACTTTCAAAAAAGAAAAAGAAAAGAAAGAAATCGTCGTAAATGATGGAAAGATTTAAAATAATAGTGGTAATGCTAATGAATAAGTAGTAAGAAAAAGGAAAGACGCCTTTATCTTGCCACCTACTTAAAAATACCGGATACTGTGAAGGCTATTTCTCTTTCTTTCAAAACAGCCTTTTTTTATCGATCTCAATATAGATTTTCTTCTTCTTCTTCTTTGAGTTGTGATTTTCATAAACTCTAATAGGCTCATCGAATCTATTAGGATCAATTTAGTTGAAGGGCATCGATTAGCACAATATACTAATCAAAACTCTTAGCGCTCTCACAAACAAAAATGAATAAAAAAAGGAACAAGCGTATCCATCTATTTTATTAATATGTCTTTTCATTTTAGTCTCATGCAATGTAAACTCCTGTGGTGATAGAAATAGGAATATCGAATAAATACATCGATAGTTGCTATATTCTCGTGTCCTTGCTTGACCTACGATTGCGCATGCACACATTCTTGTTCAACAATAATCGATGTTATTGTAGAGAATAGGAAAGATAATAATGATCTTCAGCTTGCCATTGGTAAGCATCTAATGAATAATAGAGTCCAATTTAGTACAATTTAGAGAGTACGTCTCTTAGAAAAATCTGATCAATAGTCGAGAAAATGACCTTCGATAGCAAATGAATCGAACAGATAGTTTGCAGCAATAAAAATTCTCTTCGTAATATTTTTATCGATGAATATCTATCATTAACAATTCTTTCTTCTTATTTCTAAACATATTTTTTGCCGGAGAATATTAATCTATCCCTGTTGTTGATTAATTTTCGAGAAAAACATCGAATAGTTCTGTATAGAATTATCGTTTTATATGAAATGATAATTTATATGCATGTATTTTGCTACTTGCAAGAAATACAATCATTCGTTCTAACCTTTTGTTTTATAAACACACAAGAAACAAATCTATGATCTAATGATGGCACTATTTTAAACAGAAGAAGGATAATAGTACTCAATGTCTTACCTCACGGTTGATGTATAAGTTGCCATCGATTGCGTATTAACAGTGAATATAAAGATGGATACGAAGAAGAACAAGAGAAACAGAGAAGTTATGTTATCTCATTCAATACTTAGGAAACAAGGACTACTTCTTCATCATCGCTCTGTTGTCTCTCTGTCGTTCGCTCTCTTTCTTTTTGCTCTATTCTCTTGTCTGTTTCTGGTAGATACACTCGATGATGATTGTAACATCTAATCATATTTGTTCTCTTTACATTTTCTTTGTCGTCTAGCGATTCTCTAGTGTTTAACAAGGAAAATAAAATGTAAAACCATATTAAATATCCGTTGCTTGTATTGAAAAATAGAAGCATTTACATGCAAATATCTATGATTAATAGATGTTAGAAGTAGTTTAAAACATGTTTTGCATGATATAATTATTCTTCCTTTTTATCTTTCGACGTTTGAATTTTCATTCAGAAAAACAAAAAATGGTACGCTTAATCGTGCTTCGGTAGCTCAATGGTAAGAGCACTGGTCCGGTTAACCAGCTTTTGTGTCTTGGGCTCGCTTACCGAACGAAGAATATCATTTTGAATTTTTCATTCAGAAAAATTCAAACATCGAAAGATGAAAAGAAAAAATAATTACATCATATAAAACATGCAAATATCTATTGGTATTATAAAGAAAATTGCTATAGCAAAAATAGGTAAAACATAATAATAAGAGAAAACCTTGTTTGATGAACGTTTAGCTAATCTAGATGTTATCAACGTAAAAGTACGACTGAACTGTGAAGTTTAATTTTCTACTTCGCTGCTTTCGATTGAATGTCATCGTAGTAATCATAATTAGCTTAGGATCTAAACTATAACCTCAGCAATTGTCGAAAAGGTTAAAATATAGTGACGATAGTTTTAATCAACATACATGTTGTATAAATGCTGGTAAGTATTGTATGTCATTTGTATTATGTTAAATACAAGGCTATTCTGTCTACTAATCTTGTTATTTGTCTTTGTCGTCTGTAAACGATTTGGCTTGTTTATTATAGCCTCTTGACTGCTCATGGTCAAACAAACAACTATAAAAAAAAAAAAATATATATATATATGTATCTATATGTATGCTTTATTTTATGCATCAGTTTAACTAACAAAAACAATAACAGTAAAACGTTGACGTCAAAATAAATCGTGCCATACGCTATAGTTATATTCGGCAATTACAATAATCGACATATGTATTTCATAAATTACATGAGGTTTTTATCATAGAAACATTACAACTATTATGAAATACGACTTATAACCTTCGACATGCTTAGAAGATTACAATCAATAGATTTGATAAGCGCATGCTATGTATTAGTCTACTATTCTATTTGCACTTAGCAGCTTTCTGATCTTGATTTAAATATCTTCTAAATTATTATTTTCTTTGGTTTTTGATAAAATTGTGTCAAAAAGAAGTTCGGTAAATGAGAGTTCGCCAATGGGACAGATGTGCTAATTGAACTAGAAAATATGTTTTAGGTCAAGGCTAATCACTGTATTATAAAGAAGCATGTCTAAATAAAAGAATATATTCGATTAAAGAGCAGCTGAATACTTTTTAGTAGCATAGCCGTTAGCTTAACTTCTATATCAAGCCATTTTTATAGTCTTTGTCTGTATGAATCTCCGCAGTTTTCTCTATCTATTGACAATGATAAAATAGAGCAATCATATAGATATGATAAAACTATTCTTAATTTCTATCTGAGAAAAGCCTTTCAAATGATAGAAGCTCAAGGTTAAAGCAAATAGATTCATTTAATGAAAAGCAGAAATTAAAAAAGAAAGAAAAATAACGACAAGAGCCAAGTGGCTTTTATCATATTAATGCAGTTAGTGTTTAGCAATTCAACAAGCGCTCCGTTTTTTTCTTCTATAACCTGCACGAACTGACTATTCTTAAAAAAATAATTCAACTAGGATCGAGATAACCTTGAAAATAAGAAAAGAAAATGAGAAAAAGAATAAGAATAATTGAGTAAATAAAATCTATTTATATAAATAAATGTTGTTAACGTGTTTTCTTGTAAGTCAAGGATATACAATGAACGTGCAAAACTATAATTTCGAAAGTCAACGAGAAAAATTGACTTAGACACGTTTATTTACAAGTACAATAGAGATGTCCTAGTCGATTTATTTTCTAGAAATTTATGTAAAAAGCAAAAAGAATTATTTTTTCCTATCGAATTGAAGTTGTTAACTCGTTCTAATCAAATTTCACATGCCATTATAATAATTAGTCTTGAAGAAGTCTCTAATTTGATTATCGATCAAGAATGGGGCATTTTCTCTTAACATATTTTATCATAACAAATATGTTCTGAATAATTCATACTTACCTAATTTCAATTCTTCATATTCTCGTAGAAGAAAACAACAAAGAATGACGTAGAATTATCTCTATGCTAGTCTCCTATGTTTAATTAGAACAAAGAAGACACATTCAAGAAACGTTGACGTCATAGGGAATGTGTCTTCAAATTAACCAATGTGAATACTACTCGTGTTTAATTCAAGTATTTTTTTGTCTTCATCTAAGAATGATTCTATAGGATGATTAAAGCAATTGAGGCAATCAAATCAAAAATATCTATCGAACAGTTTTCGTTGCTACTTTCATTTATAATCAAAAATAATTTGCATCTGTAGGAGCTTACAAATTTTATAACAACCACATGACTTGTTTTCTATATCTATGACGATAGATCTCTTCAGGTAGTGTAATATGTTCTTTTTTTGAATATATACACTTCGCAATATTAACAAGTGAATGTTATACGTCTCTGTTCATTCTCAAGATTCATCGAGTAAAAACTATAATGGCGTATTTTGTTCTTTTCAATTTAATAAATATATCTATTGGCAATAATAAACAGATTAAATACGAGTGTTAACAGAGACAGCAAACAAGCATTTACTAACAAACAACAATTCTGTGCAGACCCGCAGCAAGTCGCAATCGATCTTACCTCTCAATAGCTAGGAGAATAATGTTAATGAAAGCCAAAAAAAAAGTTTACACACAACTATATTTATGTGACATTATAAATTTATGCATATACATTTAAGAACGTTTTAGGCAAACGTATTTAAAAAAATAATAATATTTGAGAATCTGCATAACGCATGGTTACAAAGATTATTAATTATTAGATTTAAATAACAGAAACAAATGTAGAACATGCTGATTGCGTGACAAAGAAAAATTAGATCTATGATTGATTTGTTTGATCTTGAGTACGTTGAAGAACATAACAACATTGATTAATGGCATTTGCCCACGAAGATGTTGTCCCTTCCATATCAGTTAATAGTTGTTTAAGATGACGGAATTCAATATTTTTCGATGATAATCGAGGGATCTAAATCGACAAGACATACACATGCTCGAAGTAGCATTTTGCAAGTGTTTGATAGTAGTGCCTTGAGTTTTGGCATTATAAAAGACTATTCATCAAGTAAATCTGTGCGACAGAAATATTTCATAGATATTCGAAAAAAAAAGTCATTGCGATCGGCTGCTCCTGTCGGTAAGATTTATTTTATTCAATGAAACTTTTATTCTCGGAATCAGTCTTAACAATTTCCTTGCACACAACTCATTTGTAGTCAAAGAGTGTATGTAGAAATTTTCAGCATTTTTCTAGTTTTACATTGATCAGCGCGTGTACAAGAATGACACTATTATAAAGTACTATCTTCATTTCTACCTGTTAAGTTTGATCGATTTCAGTGATTCTTTTAATGGTTGACAGTTAATCGGCACCAATGGATACATCTTACTAGCACTATTATTCACAGTGTTTGTTGGTAATGGTGTCATTTCATGATTTGTTTGATTCAACTCTTGATAGATATGTTCTTCTTGATCATTTGTAAGTAATGTTGGATCTATTAGAATATTACTAGTCTCATTAATATATTTTAAATCTTCTACAGATCCATGACGACTCGTTACGACTTTCATTGATTCACTTAGACTACGATGTGCTACAAATAAAAGATGTTTATGTATAAAAATTGAATATATGTATGTTTTAAACTTACGACTGGTAAAAGCAAAGAGATTGTTGAGTTTTGTACCATCAAGACTTGATTGCTCGTCAGCATCAATAAATATTTTGTTTGAACAAGGTATGGCTGGTATCTCATCTTCATCATCTAGTGTTATCATCAAGGGGAGAAAAGCTGATTTAAATCACAGTAAAACTCAACTTACAATCAATATAAATTAACTGTATTGGAATGAGTTTGCGTGAGTTTCGGTGCCTTTGAATGATTTTCAGTAATAATTTATGATTTGGAATAGTTTTTAGTTAGTTTAGCAAATTTTTCGTTTTCTCAAACTCATTTTAAATCAGCTAAACTCAGAAAAATCATGAAACTCATAAATCGCTTTTTCCCCCCTGGTTATCATGGTAGATGAATCGAAATATCGTGGGTGATTTCGATTGACTAAATGTTTGTTTTGCTTTTCTTCAATCTTATATTTTGTGAAAGTACTAAATCGATTATTATTATTATTATTTGAAGTTGATAACGATTGAATTGACTCTGCCACAATATCCGGTAATTCATCATGTTTCAAGTTTTGATACAGTGAATTATATTTACTTGCTAATACTATAAATATTTCATTCATTATCGTTATAAAATAGAACAATAATAGAAATGGCAGAACGCTAATGGAAAAAAGTGGGTTGTTTATTATTAAACAATAGAACTTTGTCGAAGAAAATTCTTTGGATTGCACGTCCTTGATGACATGTCTTCAAATGTTCTTTTTCTCGCTTGAATTATATGCAAGAATAAACGCGGAAGTTGAATAAATTTCAAAGTCCAGATTTTTGCAACACAAGGATCTCAGCAACGGACTAATTCAATGTAGCGAGACTTCGCGTTGATCTAGCCATAATTAAAATGATTTTAAGAATATTTTTACAACGAATGGATAGAGTTGTCACAGAAATGATTTCAACTATAGTGGAGGCTTTAAAAATATTTGAAATTGTGACGAGCAACTAAATGAATAATTCATATTTATTTCTATGAACAATATCAATTATATGATATCGAGATCACCATGTATCAACGCATTTTAGAAGAAAATAGTAACCCATCATCTTCACTTGCTTATTTGAAAACTTCGTTGGAGCTTTATTTCAAATAAAAATATGAACTCAATAAAAAACAAAGATTCGATTACTTTTGATAACAGAATAATTCTTCAAAGAAATCGCTAAATTAACAGTACGGCTAAATCGAAACGAAAAGAATTTCAATGCATTTGTTATGATGACTTCCAAATAATAGGAAAACGAGGATGATCCATCGCATCACCAGGTTTTATTTGTTCGGTAATGTCTGAAAAGTCTGGTGATGTAATCCATTTTCTGGGTGAATGCCTGACATCATCACCTAAGAAGCGAACAGAAAAAACTCGTCGACGACCTTCATTCGGCATTGTTCCTCTCGCGCCATGTAGGGTAAGCATATGAAAAGCGATAGCATCTCCTGGCTCAACAGGCCAACCAATAATAGGAAACGCGTCTCGATTATCTTCAATATTGGGAATTTCTTCGAGTGTTCCCTCGGGGAACCATTTTGCTTCCAAACTCATGAATGTTCTTGGCATAAACCAATGCCCGTCGCGATGTGATCCTGCTATGAATTCAAGTGTTGAATGACGAGAGACTGGATCAATAGGTATCCAGAAACTGCATGTTTGGTTTCCTGCAATATTATAATAAGGTTGATCTTGATGCCACGGAGTGACTTGTTTTGTGTTGGCTTCTTTCACGAGTAAATGATCATGATAAAGTCGACTGATTGAACTTCCCATCAGTAGTCCGGCTACTGCAGCACAGGGTGATTCATATATAAACTGCTTGTAATAGGGATTTGCTTCCCATGTGCAAAAATCTTCGACAAATCGACCTGTATCATCAGGACGACTAGCAACTTTGAAGCGAGGTGACGGATTTGCAAGGTTTTCATCGATCCCTTGTCGAAGTAAGTCAATTTCACTATGAGTTAAAAAGTTTCGAATACACACAGCTCCATTCTGTTTGTATTCATTCACAAGAGAATCTGTAATAATTGAATTAGCTCGCTCATTCGATGTCATGTTAGTTGTTTATATGATTACAAACAATTTTTGTTAGACATAAAGGCGAGATAAGAAAATTATCTCTCTATTTATCGTACTATTATTCATCCAAGCTGACTATGAGAAATATTTAATACATTAGTTTTTTAATGATGTAAAATTGTAAAACTATCTTTAATATAAAAAACTAATTATTAAAATTTGTACTCTCTTGATCTGCCCATAGCATTGTTGATTGTCACACCATGCTAAAGAAAAATAGTCTTTATAAGAAAAAAACAAAGAACGAATGAGATAAATTATTTTCTTTGTCGTTACCTTTTAAATTCGAATTCTACTGAAGTTTTACCATTGTATGTGACTATTATGCTTTTAACTGTTAACTATTAACAGACTTTGATCTTATCAGCAGAAAAACTCCGTAAAGCTTGTTTATAATGAATAAACTTTCACGAGAATTTTGTATTTTGTCATCAATGGATGAGGTTATCGAATATTTTACTTTTCTTCAAAAGAAAAAATTCAAAAATTTATTGACTCGACCTTGATTTTAGTAGCGTGTTGATCATGAACGAAATGCAAGTAAAAATAAATAACAGAAAATGAGAACAACCTAATATTGTACCTAAACCAGTTGTTGTCACTACGGTTGTTGCAGTTGGCGTCACTGTAGATGAAGAAGTTGGTGTTACTACGGTTGCTGAAGTTGTTGCCAGTGTAGATGACGAAGCTGCTGTTGTACTTTCGCAGAAATCTAGTAGAATATCATCAAAACTTACACTCACACCTTCGGTAGCATTTGAAGACACGAAGAAACTGAGCATGACAGAACATGAATTATTGGGCAGCATATTGTTAACAGTTTGTCAACCGTTGCTATCAGTTTTCTTCACTGACCAAATAAGACCTTCGGAGCAGCCGGTAAGAGCTACACCGAGAGCTGTGAGTTTCTCTGGCGTACTAATTGAATTGATATAATACGCAAATTTCAGACACATATTCAGTTGAAGAGGAAAAGCAGTTGTATTGACTATACCATCTACACGGACGCGAATAATCTGACCGGAACGATACCAGTAAAGGAAATGACCTGTTGGTGTATTCAATGTATGATGAGATGATGGACCGCGGTGTTTATCTACTACTGTCTATCCAGTAGCTACCATAAACATGACTGGAGCTGTAGGTAAATTCATACCACACACATCGTGCCATCCTCGAAATCACAGGCAAATTCAGGTGAGGTGTATATTCGATCCAATGATATCCCAAGGAATATCGTAAATTAATAATGATGATAGAGAGCGTCATGAATAGATGATGAAACATGATAAGAATAAAATGGTTATCAAACACGTGGACACTGCTGCTGCTGCTGCTGCTACTGTCGGTAAACATAAGTGACTAGATACGGCAACACATTAGAATCTATTAGTTTTAGTAAATTGTTTTTCAGCAAAAATCTCCTCAGATCTATCATACATTTTATATAAATAATAGATTCATGCAAACTGAAAACTCATGAATTTCAATATTTTAATTCAAATGAAAATAATTGAGTTGAATCAATAAATAGTTCTTTACAAATATAGTCTACACTGTAATATAATATATTATAATTTCATTTTATTTTCTGGATGTATTGAAGATGAGATGACCTTCAAAAAGAAAAGTAAACCAAAAAAAGTAAAAGTAAAAACATAATTAGCATTTCGATAGTAAAAAACAATTCGTAGACCACCGGTATCAAGATAAAAAATATCCATATTATTTTAATGAAAGTAGAAGGAGTAGAATAGTACACGATATAGATAATTTCGATGAGGACGAGTTCAATACAAGATTGAACATATTGGATGATTTAACGCTTGTGTCGATCACATTTGTTGTTAGATAAGATTTATCTATAAATGTGTAGAATAACAATGAATCAATTAGGAGTTATCGATATCGATATCTATATATATATATACATGGAAGAAGACTACATACCAAAATCTCTAACTATATGTGGTCCTTGTGTAATCCAGTTTATTGAATATGGATCACTGTGACGTTGTGCTTTAATTATATGTGGAAGTAAACGATGATGATTGTTATCATTTGAGTCAACATTTTTGCCTACAGACGATAAACCGTGTTGATAGTGAGAATAATGTGAAAATAAACGAGTTTTTCGATCTTGATCATTAAGATAGGATACTGTACTTAGTGACGATGAAGCTCGATCTAAAAAAAAGAAATATTATTCTTTTTCTTTCTAAATATCTGATCAATAATATGACTAGACAGTTAGAATGACGAATATCTTAGTTCAGTGAAGAATTATGATCTACATGACTATCGGGGTGAAAAAAGGAAAACGCATGAATATAAAAAGAACAACTCACAGCCTATCCGATTGAAAATCTAGTTCATTAACTGAGCTTCGTTAAAAATAAAAGCAAGCTTGTTATCTTTCTTTTGATATAGATAAAGGTTATTAGAAAACTTCATCTCACTCAAACATAAGGTATCAATTCTATTGCATTCAGCAATGCAATATAATTAAAATACTATATACTTACTATAATCATGCACAATTATTTTTAATTTATTACATTGGCGATGTGTTAATGATGTTGAAACAAAATAATAAGTTCGATTCGGGTGAAATTCTAATCCATTTGGTATAGGTAAATAAGAACGAAAATTCAATGTATATTTCATCACATCATAAGGATGGTTACATGTTATTATAAGACGTGTTGTTGATTCAATATTTAAATGATCTATACTACACGTATCATATTCACGTTTAGTTACCTATGAATTAATAAATGAAACGGTAAAATACTATAATCAAAAACAAAAGCCAACATACACGATAGATATCATATTGTTCGAGTTCATTTGTCAGATATGATTGTTGTTCATCATAGAATGGACATATTAAATCCATAACATCACCCAAACGTACTTCAAAAATCAACGAATCATCTTGATATGGCCTTTATAATGAAGAAGAAAAAAATTAAGATTCGTTTGATTTCTATTTCCTTTCTATTTTCAAGTGTTCTTTTTGATACTTGAAAATTTTTGACCGAGAAATCTAATTAAAATGAATACTATCGACAAGGTCATTCAATCATCCCATAACGGCCCAGATGCCGTAAGGCCTCTGTTTATAGAAGGATACAAACACATTAAAGAGAAAGAACTGCACCCGCTACGATTGCCCGAAGTTGTGAACATTCGCAAAAAGATTAGTACTTTTAGGGTAGATAAAAACACTTGGTTAAGAATAAGGAAACAATCGACAAATTTTCCCATCACAAATATTCATATTGTCAAATCAACCATAGGGTAGAAGATATCCGATTTTGCTTACAATGATGCAATCAATTTCCTATGCTGTCCGGATGCAGTCGTTTTTCTTTTCCGAAGAATTAAATTTCTTCGAGAAAATATCAAACGATGATATCATTTATATTAGAAGAAATATCTCGTAGAAAAACAAATAATATTTCTCATCTCTCTAGAGGAATAAACAATCGATATTAATATTCTACTTTTTGTGTTTAAGAAATATCCTTGAACGAAAAATCGATTACGTTCTCCTTTCCATCATCAAAATTCTTATTAGTCAAGCTCATTTGATTCATCAGCGATATCACGAAGATAGACAGATGTTTGATAAAGAAAAAGAACTCAATCAATGAAATAACAACTTACAAGCATTTCTATGAATTATTATATACACACGACTTCTCTGTTCTATCTGATAAATTGATCAAACGGAACACGTCTTATCGATTTAGTATTGCAGTAAAAGGATGCTTTTAAGTACCTGAACGTTGTTTGATTCCAATAGAGTGGCTGTAAAATCAATGAATGAATTTGATGTCGAACGATAACGATGAGTAAAAGAATTGATATCACAAACAAATCTTTGATGAACATAGTCTATGTGTCGCTGCATCTACTGAATATACACTCTACTCAACTGACCGTTCTCTCTCTCTCTCTCTTCTCTTCTCTCAAATGCGAGAAAAAAAAAGAAACGATCCAATTATCCTTTCTTTCGTCTCTCTTTTTCGCGGTCGACAATCACAAAAGACGAGCAAGTAAAACAAACTAAAAAGCGAAAGCAAAGAGGCCGTTTAACTAATGGTAATGTACAAGGAATCATTTATACACTTGTTCAATTCGTGTGTCTATTGATGCATCATATCACTTATTCGATAGCTAATTATCATGCAAATAAGCACAATTTTTGCTCGAGTTTAGTTCATTCAAATTTCGATGTTTTCTTTTCTAAATTTTATTTACATGATCATCGCCATCGACCAGACGCCTTATGATATTCTGTTCATTGATGCACGTAATTTTTTAGTATGCTTATGAATGAAGCGGTAAGAGCATATTAATCATATATAGACTAGATGGATGATGAATGATCAAAGGTATACAAATCTATGCATGTATCACTTATGTGAACAGTTGAGAACTTATGTAGAACATATTATATATATATAAATATACACCTATGTAAAGATACAAGTGAAGTAGGGGGGATTAGTGAATAGACTGATTGTAAAAAGAAAAAAGGCTTTATGAATAATTTTTCTTTTCCAGTATTTCACTATATGGTAAATGTTCATAGACGCGAATTTTTGCTTTGTGAATGTTTATATAGCCAATAGAATGTTTATTTCGATAGACAAATTTCAAGTTTCAAAAAACTAAAATAATGGATTAATAGTGTAAGAGAACGAACGAACACCGTTAACAATGTGATGATACGAATAGCTACTCACTGAATGTACAAGTGTATATGCAACGAAAGATTGAAAAATCACGCAAGAGGCTCATTAGAAGAACAGAAATTCGGTCATTTATCCTCAGGCTACATAGACAGTAAAATGATCTTGATTTAATTGGAATGTTATAAGGTGTAGCATTCTTATTTATATGACTGTCGGAATGAACATTAAGCGAAGAGAATGAAAGAACTCAATAGACTAGTTCTAGTTATTTCTTTATGTTCACATGTTTGTTCAAGATTTGATTACATTGATCTTTAAGCAATGAAAAACAAGACACATCATCGAGACTGAATGGCACGTGTTTGCTAATGAGTAATCATTTATATGTATGGGTTATACGTTAACTTTTATGTAATCTACAAAATACATCTTTTCATTCTATGTATGAATAAATACGAAAGGTCACTTTGATCACGACTGTATGATGTTTGATGAGGTAACAAACCACGTCTGTCTAACAATATTGATTGTTCTCTTTGTTTTCTTGCATCAAACGTTGATAGTTTTTCTATCTGAAAACTGATCGACTAAATTCACGAGTCAATTGTTACGGAATCTACCCAAGAAATTTCTCGTTGCGTATTATTGATATTTGAACTTACTTAAAGAATGACTGATTCCAGTAAACAGTCAACGTTCGATGAGTATTGACGTTGAGAACCATCATAAAAAATGTCCAGAAGAATATAACTAGTTTTTTAAAAGTTAATGGCGCCATACATCATTCTTAACATCGATTCAATATTGACTAGTATGCATTGTGTTGCTACTCCAGAATTTCGATATTATAAAAAAAATTTTGATAACATGATGAACATTGCATGACACTCAACAACAGATGATAGTATCTAAAATGATAAGATATCAGATAATTTTTCGCGAGTCTATCAGTTAATTAAAATTAGTTTTAGATATTTTCTTGTTCAAAAATGTCAAAATTGTATTTTCACCTATAACAGACCTTCATTGATCGAAGTCAATGAAAGTAAAACAAGTTATGTCTACTAGTGAACTCAACAAAAGTCTTGCAAGTCTTTGTTCTCTGTTCTTACAATCAGATAATAAATAGGAAAAGAAAAATGAGAGTTATTAGATAAAATGAAGGGATCTTGACATTTAACTATTACCCATTTTGTTAATAGTAGTAGCATCAATTACCTTGGCACATGTCGGCTGAAAGTCGAACGAGCATGATAAGTAATGATTATCCCTCTTTTCTCTTGTTCTTTTCACGGATGGGTTTCTAGATGCATTGGATCAGAAGCAGATGCTGACAGTCTCATTCTTACTCAAAGCAAACTGATGAATGGCGAGAAGAAGATGACAATGACCTTGATTATTCTTTTTCTCCTTTTTAGTTCTCTCTTTTTATTAAAAAACAGGTAATCTTACCCAACTAACTCGATTGTTGAAATACAAGTTCACTTACCCACGTATTCTGTTATATATGAAGGTGTTTCGTCGTCTTTTTCTTGTTATGCGAGAAGAATTAATCCTATGTGTAGAAAAGAAGAAAAATGAATGATGATAGATGTACGATGGGGATTGTCGAGACGTGAAAGATCGTCAAGGTCCTCCTGTATAAATATTAACAGCGCTTGAGCAGGTGCAGGAAAAACGTCCTTTTGTTTATAAGATAAATGATAGATACATACCAATTTAGTCTATTATCTCCTATAATTTTTCACTGAAACAACCATATGAATCTATGTTTAGATCCTCATCTGACATTTGTCTATTGGTTTTCCTCTTTTTGGAACAAAATCTTCTGAATCATTTATAAAAGTGACATATCCAAAGACAAAAGAAGAAAAAAGAATCATCGACTTTGTATTCTCAGAAGAATTATGACGACTTACTACTTTCTTTATTTTCTTCTCAATGATAATAAAACGATGAAACGGAAAGCTGTTAATTTAATTAGAGCTTAGCAAAATTAATAAAGACATAGAATTGTTCCTTTGAATTAATTATATTTTCTTTTGAAACAACCTATTTAGAAAAATAGAACAAATTTGTTATGCAAAAGCCAACCCTTAAGCAAGGATTTTCCAAGAGAAAAAAAATTATATTATAACTATTGCAGTACTCTTTTATTGAGTAATACACAATGTCAATTATTCTTAATTAATCATTCTTTCGTAGGAAAAAAACTTCATCGAACCAACTTTATAGGTTATTATTTATCAAGGCGAAAGTTTATCTTGAAGTGTCATCTGTTTAGTTTTCGTTTTGTTCACTGCTAGCAATCAAACAAATTATTTTTTTTTCTCGTTAAATTATGAGATAGTTTGCATTAATCTATTCTCTTGAAAAAATATGAATTAGATATTCTAGAGTAACAATATCAGATTACATTATCAATCGATAACTGGTGATAGTTATAATCATCGTTTTTATTATATTGTTACATTGGTAACTTTTTTTAGTATTTAAAAACAACGTCTGTTTCCTTTTTATCTAATAAACATGATATTGTTTCCTATTGGCAACAGATGATCGATGTGTTTAACCATGTCAGAAAACTAAACGACTTGGTACAGAAATAAAATGGTGTATACCCACGTGTTTTATACAGCTGGAAAGTCGCATAGTTACAGAGATTAGTCAATCTAGACTTCTAGTATTATCATTGCAACATATGGACTTGCTAATAAATAAAGATCTATTTCATGTTTCTAGATCGATAGTTTATTGTCTTTTGGGAATATTATTGAAGAACAAAAAACATGTTAAACATGTAATTTGCATGATATTTAATGTTTTAGCCGTATGCAGTGTAACAATGTATCTATTTAAAGGTCTTATGGTTCTATTATGTAGGCAATAAAATTAAGTTTTCTGTAAAAGAATTCATCATGATTGATCAATATTGACATTTTAGGCTGCATCCTAACTATGAATATTGTTTTGAATTGATGCATAGCAAATTCTGGTCTAAAAAAAGTCCTATGAAGGTAGAAGTCTCGAACTTTAAAATCAAGATTGAATTCAATATTCTAATGTTATTATGCTAATAAGCAATTTGGATGTGTTGGACATAGATCATCATGATCTTTTTAGTTTTTCATGGAATTTAGATAAATTCCACAGTGACTCATAATTAATTACCCCCGTATAAAGAATGTAGTCTGTTACAATGATACAAATTATTCTTGTCTTCGATACTAATTGCCTCAATAATCATGAATACGGTCAAGTTATTTACAATGATTATCTTATTATACCTATATTCTCTCGATAGGCTGTGCAAGACGCTGCTGATATACGATCAAAGAGTTTATGTCCATAACGTCTCGTTATTAGATATAAAATTCTTTCGTCTTACGTATCCAGCGAATTCTCTAAGATTAGCAACGGCACCTACATGGTGTTTCACATGTTCACTTCCCGAGAGAGCGCACTAACCGTTTCTTTTTCTATAATTAACTGAACATATATCCAGAATGAAGACGTAGCAATACGAAAATCCTGCACTTTTGCACTTGCTGCCTTGTTTAAAGAGATTTTATCAATGTTTTTTTTTTTATCAGATCTAACGTTGTTTTTAATGTTTGATCTTTTCGTCATTTGATGTTAAAGAAAATTGATTAGCTTTTACATAATGAAAACGTTCATTGTATTCTTTTTCTAAAAATGTGTTGCCATCACGATTGTTAACACGTTCATTCAATGTTTGATGATTATCCGTTCAATCTACACAACATTAAACAATTTCGTAAGTTGAAAAAAATTGATTAGCAATAATCGTATTAGCTGTTCGTGCTCTATATCTGTAAGTACACCGCTTTCCTTGTCATAATCATCATTATTTAGCTTGGTGCCAATGTCACTGAGATCATTTCATTTAGATGCATGCAATAGTATAGGCAATATCTTCTCGGGTGTAAATAGTCGATGCAAAGATTTACAAGCATACTCTCAACGAGACAGTTTACAATTCACAGATGCTTGTACAGTCTCAGTCAAAGGTATTATTCCTTTTTTTTCAATTTCAATTCAATTAGGCACAGCGGAAGTGTATGTTGTCCTGCAGGGACAAGATTAAATCAGCTTGTGAGAAAAAAATCTTCACCTTTCATTATCTTCCTATTGCTCCATTGTCCATCAACTTCATACAAGCAAACTTTAATAATCCGTAGTTATTACTTACTATTGTTCAAAGTACACTTCCTTCTTTCTCCTCTTTCAATTTTGATTAACAACACGGAAATCATCGATATTCTCTGCATGAACTCTCTTTCACAGCAATCGTCTCGTGAGACATTCACTGGACAATAGAATTCTACTGACCTCCATCATTAATCAAAAGCGATGTTCACATATATATATATATATATATTGGTTATCTAATACTGTGTCATACGTAATCGAAAGAAGACTACAACTCTACTCATACGTACATATATTAGTAACAAGAAGAATCATTCGTTTGTATTAGATAATTATTTTTCTCATTCACATGCAATCATAAAGACGAGTAAGTTAAATCATCTATTTCATGGAATCCACACGAAAACTAGAGTAGGCATATTATCAGAATTTTTAATCAGTTAAAGTGAGACAGTCTCTTCACAATATTTTCTCTGCTTAAATAGGTGTCAAAGTTCGACAAACAATTCTTATCAATAGCGTTGCATTAGTGTATAAGATATTGATCATCACTTGAGTTCTTGTTTTATACACACAGTACAAATTCATCGTATAGAAATAAGAAAAAAAACGACATTTTTTGATCATACATTCTGATAAAAACAATATAATCTAGGTAAGAAAAAACGAAAAAGGTCAGTTCTCAATGGGATGAACATGATTGATATTGCATTAAGAAAATCGACACTTGCTATTGACTGCTTCCCTCCCTTCTTACGAGAAAACTCATTAAATATTCGTTTAATATATGAAATGAAGATAAAAGAAGAAAACAAAATTATACAATCTGCCAAGGTAATAAATGATCTCTCGTTAAGTGAACGAACATGAACATATATATATATTGAAATGCCGCTATTTCATCATAAGAAGACGAATGATTGTTTAACAATCACAAAAGAAGAGGAAATATTCGATACATTTTCATTAGAATGTCCTACGATATTTTTTATTTCTATTCTTGTTGAATGAGCTCCTATTCAAAAATAGATCATATTAGAAGCACGTTTCTTTTAACACTATCTAATGCTGCTTGTTTAGCGTCATTTTTTTTTTGAGTATAAGAAGAGCTTTTATGTTTAAAGACAAAAAACTTTAATACAAGAAGAATAAATCGATATCAACAGTCTGAACATTGAATCTTCGTGTACCATTATTTTCTAATGAACAAAACTATTAATTTTTTTATTTGACAATTTACACTTTAGCAAGTTATAATTGATTTATAATTTCAATCTTCTTATCGTAAGATAAAGTTTCTTGAAAATATCTTGATTGTTCTTCAAGATTTTGTTTTAAATGTCTGTACAAGTATAATGATCTTGTAGTTTGCATTGAAGTGAACATATTTAACAACAGACGAATTCAAGAAAAAAAGTGCTTTGTATTTGCATTGCTGTCTCCGACATACATAAGCATTGCGTCTGTCAACACTTATCATCATCATCATCATCTTGCATTGTACATCATAAGAAAGAAAAGAAATCAATAAAATGAGTCGTCGTTTTCTTTTGATTCTTTCTCTCTTGTGCCGAGCAAAATGATAATTCTTGAACTCGATGTCACATATGTGCAAGGAAGAATACAGAAATGTTAGTTTCCTTTCCTTCTTTACTCTAGATATGAAAAAATGAATCAGTCTGCGTCATCAGATCGAAAATCTCTTCTATTATTTAATCTAATTCAACAATATGAAATGTGTCGTCAACAGTCACAATGTTATGGACTTATTCCACCACCACAACCACCCATGCTGCCAGAACTTATTCTCGATAATTCATCGTTTACATTAGCAAATCATCGGCAATATACGAAGTCATTTTTTATTACTTTGACTATGTGTATTGTTTTAATTTCTATTTGTCTACTCAGTGTTATGTAAGAAAGCAATGATTTGTCTTTGTACTTTCTTCCCCTCATCATCAACTGTTTATATTATAGTTTTCAATTCTATTATAAATTACGACAACATCATCATCAAACAAAGCATACCAATCTCGCCGATGATGTGGCAACATTTTCACGAGTAAGAATAGAATTATTCTTAGTTCGCCTTCACATGAATATATTTTTGTTTTTAAGATCGCCCCATCATCATACGATTCTTTGACACCATTAACTACTGCAACAGATCAGTCACCATTATCAACAATTGCTAGCATGTTCAATCTAAATCATCAACAAGTTCTACCGTCCGACGATCAATCATTTTATCATAATCATTCACCAAACATCTATGAAAAGATTCGATTACCATCAGATCATTATTATTGTTCATGTTATTTATGTGTTCAGGCATATCATCATCATCAACAACAACAACAACAACAGTATATTACTAGTATACATCAATTGACACCATATTATTATACGTGTGAATCATCATCACCATCATCACACATTGTTTGCCAAAACTGTTTATTAGACAATTTACATCGTAAAAACAATTGTTTTTGTCATAACTTTTTTATACCGATTAAATAGAAGCCAATGAGTATAATTGTTCATCTGATCAGAAAGAAAAGAGTCTTAAACTATTGCGTACGATCATGGAGATTCACATTTTACTATTTTTTCAAATTGCTATCGCTCATTTTGAAAGATAAACAAGAATCATTTATCATTTTAACTCATTTTTCATATTTTCCAGAGAAAAATATCTATCATAACGGCTGGAGGAAAATAATCATAAGATTCAGCCTTATTTTTTTTCAAATTAATTTTTATACGTAACAAAGTGACCTCATTTTCGAACATAGAAAATGTTCGAAAACTTGTTCTTATCTGAAAAGTAGTCACTTAATATCGATTGTATGTAACAGATTGTATTCATTTATTAAACCGTAGTATATTTCTTTTTAAATATCAATGGATTTTGTTTTTCATTATACATTTTCGATCATTTAGAGAAGTAGCAAAGCATGCGTACTTTATCTTTCGTCGTAATATTTATTTTGCTGATTCTGACAACGACTTTCTATGCAAAACCTACATATAAACCAAAGACAAACAGACTATCGGCTGTAGCTACAATTGTAAATGATACTAATGGTGGCTTGTCTTTGACAACTAAACGTAGTGTTGACCACAAACGTCATGGAAATCGAACAAGAGATTTTCAGCGGAAAATCCACAAGTAATAATCATTTATTTGATAAAACAAATTAAAAACATGGTGTACGGGATTCGCCGAAATATTTTCCGCTTGAATACAATTGTCATTTCATTCTGTTGAAGTCTAATGTGTAACTAAAGTCTTTTTATTTATTTTTTGCTCAAGAAATTTTATTGGAATAAATGATCGTCATCGTCATGTAACAGATTTAATTATTGTCAAATTTCGATTCTTACGAGAGTAAAGATAAGTGCATTCGAAAAAACAGTAGGGGGTATGACGAACGATCTGTACCAATGGTTAGCTTGAAGTTTTGAGTACAATATTTTACGCAGATTTTTTTTCCTAATTCTTGCTGTGATTCATTGTTGCTTTCGGAGCTGACGTTCTATTCGTTAAAATATTTAATAAGAAATTCATATTTATTGTGCTTTTCGGAAATGAAATTGCATGTGTGAATCTTTGTCGTCATCATATGTCGAGTAAAACTAGAAAACATATCCAAATCAGGGTGGTCAGATCAGAAACAATCTCTGAAAAATCAGAAATTAATCAGAAAATGGCAGTTTTTGGCAAATTAGTAGATCTTCCACTAAAATAATGGCATCCAAAATTCTGCTGCATTTCGGTTCACTGATTGGAACTTTATTTTCAAAGATATTTAAATAGAACGAAAGAAACTATAGTGAATATATCGTTTAGCGAATACGCAAACACCAATAAAAGATATTTAATGTTGCGCTTCTTTTTAAATTTAAAACTCGTTCACAAAAACGAGCAGAACTAAATCACATACATTCTGCGTAGATTAAGAAATCCAACGAGAAAAAAAAACGTTAAATTCCATCATCTCGGTATTGTTATTCATATTTCGTATCTTTTGGAATTTGCTCTAGAAAGTTTGTTTAAGATAACATATGCTAATAAAAACCTTCCCAAGAATTATTACCAATCATTTTTATTTTAAGTTAAGCATTATCTGGTTTTATATTACTGGATTAAGATAATCGGACTATAAATGCTTCATGTAACCGAAAACCAATTCTACTCCAGAATTCGAATTCGAATGCGGAATATAAAAGATGATTAATAAAGAAAATTGATGAAACACTGTTGATTTATTATAGCAATGGGTTATAATCGTACCTAGTTTTAGTGGCAAAGCAACGATCTGAAAATATTCCAAATTCAGAAAAAATCAGAAAATCAGAAACATGTTCAAAATTCACAAAAAATTTTCCTAGGCTTCAGAAGATCTGGCCACCCTGATCCAAATACACATTGAAAGTAAGTTTCATTCTACAAACATCGTTTGTTGAGGTTGAGAACGTGGCCATTTTTCAGGTAACTCAATGAGTACTATGAAAACATAAGAAAAAACGCCCTGAAATAAGTAATTTGTTCGCGTAAAACATTGTCATTGCTGTACAACAGATTCGCCCCGATTTTTGTAATAATACGTTCGTTTGTAAAAAGAAAAAACTGAGTAAAAAGAAAGCTAAACAATTTTGTTCCGATTGTTCTCGCTTCACAACATATTTAACTCTATTACATTTGTCAAATTACTTTTCACGCTGACATAAAAAAAAAGAAAACGAAAACGAAAATGAAATCAATGTCATCAGCGTAGCTATAGCGTTAAATGTGTTTCTTTTAAAAAGAAGTGAACTCGAATTCAAGTTAGATTTTAGTAAAGATGCTTAATATTGTTTTATTTTATTTCAATTAAAATAGTATCTAATTTGACAATGAAACAAACGATGACGATTAGATACATTCTTAATTATACAAAAATTGTATTTGATGTGATATGATAATCGTGAGCTTCATGTCCACTATTAGTATGCGATGAGCGAACACTTCCATTTGTAGTATTGTTCATAGTTGTTTGTAATTTTGATTCATTATTTGAATTAGTAATAGTTGCAATGTATGGTGGTCGAACAACTTTTAAAACATTATGAAAACGTTCTTGTGATGATTCATAAAAATTTGATTTAACAGTATAACGATTTCTGTCGATTGAATCCATGGTTGTTTGTCCATTAGATGGATTTTTTGAATTAAAATGTATAATATAATCCGCTTTTAATGGTTTTGATGAATTCATACCTGTCGTTGGTCGACTTTCTCCTATGGATGCTAATCCATTGTTTGGTAGTTCTTCATGATCATCATCAATGGAATTCATACGTGCAGCTGTATGCTTAAGTGAAGCTGATCGTCGTGGATTTGTGACAATTTGAAGATTATTATTTGTAGTAGTCGATGGTTTTGATCTCGTCGGCGAATTAAATTGTTGTCGAAGTGATATTGTACGAAGTGGACGTTGTCGACTAGTTAATGATGAAGACAATGAACCATTGATAAATACGGAATTCATAGCACTATCACCAGCATCTAATTTATTGTTTTGATCATGATAATCTTGTAATGCTGATGAACGTATACCACCGGCTCGAGTACTTTCACGAGATATTTCAGTCGAAGAATTGATCGGTATTTCAAATGTTGATTCAGGTAATCGAGAAGAATCTTTTTCACCTTGAAAAACATATTTTTCATGTACAGAAGTTTCCATTTGTCCTGATTGACTGAGTATATCAGGTAAATGTGTTATACGCGATGAATGTCCGCGTGGTGAAGGAAATAGTAATTGTTTTTTAATATTTAATTCTTGTCCTGCTAGTTGTTGTCGAGACAATGGAGAATAATTATTTTGAAGTATTTGAGGATGTTGAATGGATGGCGGAGAAACATAATTATTACCAGTAAATGCAGCTATTTTCTTCGATGAACGATGTCTATGACGGCGATGTGGTGATTGTTGGGAAGAGTCATTTGTATCTTCATAAAATTGTATTTTATGAAATTCAGAAAACGATACTCGAGGTCGACGAGTTTCATTGGTCCGTTCATGATATTGACGTGATGGTGAAGATTCAGTATCAGTCTCGATTGCCACAGAAGGCTGTGAATTGTTATTCGAATTATTATTTGTTGTTGGATTGGAATCATTTTGATTTCCATTTGACGCTGTATGAAGTGATATATGACGAGATAGGGCAGTGCCTCTGAAATAAGAATAAAATAGATTTCTATGAAGTAAAGATGTTTATTATGATAGAACTATTATCAACTAATGGAATAATTTCGATAACATCTCAAAAAAAAGAATTTCATACAACTTCAGTGTCGATAAAACTACTCAAACGTATGATCGTTTAATATTTATTTTTCTATTATTTGCTTTAATATGTCTGCGTATTTCTTTTCTTTTTTGTATATATATCCGCCAAAGATCCTTATTTTAAAAACTTGAAGAATCAACGATTAAAAAAGCGCCCAAAAAAAGAATAGTAATTAATTATCAAACAAATTACTAGATATAATAAGACATTGCGTTAAGAGTTACAAATTTTGTTCAAGTAGCCGACCATTTACCAAGTTGAGTGCAAATCAAACATTGATTAAAAACACTTTTGTCGATTTCATTCATGGGTGTACGCAATGATATTTACATGCTAGGAACATTAACGTCATTTTTGTATGAATGCCCTCCATGTTAGTATTGTTGCGTAACAACTATTGAGCATTCTTTGTTCGGCTGATGAGTTTCCTTTTTAGGAAAATGATAACATTCTCTTGAAACACATTCTGTCTATGTTAATAAACATTTGATTATGTCATCTATTTTTCCAGAAATTCATGCTACTATATATTTTATCCACACGATATATCTACATGACATTTCTGTAGGTGCATCGTATTCTTTTGCTCTACGTTCAGCAAATCAGCTTTTTGCATAACATAGAGTTACTTAAAAAGTATTCTTTACGCAAAAATTTTCAAAAAGGAATTATTTTATCTTACTTAATTAATCCCGGTAGGGATTTGACTTTTTTGATTTGTCTATCAATAAAAAGCTTTTTCGGTAGATCTGTATTTTCTAATTTTTGATAATGTTGTCTATTATTTTGTTGTCCATCAACGGCTGCTGATGTGAACGGAATAGAATTAGGCGAAGATATCATTGGCGAAGTTAATTCTAGAGTTGGACTGGTAACATGTTTCGATCGGTAATCAGATGTATGTGATGCTGGTTGATGAATATCTGTTGACAAACTAACTCCATTAACATGTAACCAATCGACAGGCAACATGTCTAGAAGAAATTGTTGGACAAAATGCTCCCATGTGAAAACAACAACTTAACACTGTCAATGAATGTTGATGTTAAACGATTCTTTTCTCTTTTTTTCGTGTTTTTTTTTGTTTTTTGATAAAAAAGAGAAAAAAGTAAAGAAGAAAAAAATTATAATAGAGAGATCGCTGTTGTTATTGATGATGAAAAAAAACACAGTTCGATACGCACATCTATACTTGATCGTTTTTAAAAATGAATTAATACAGATGCAAAACGGAATGGAAAAGAATAAGAATAGGTGCATTATGGCATACTTGAAATAAAATGTTTGATGATTGATACTTTCTATTTCTTTTTTTTTTCAGCTTTCATTTCTTTTGTGTCTCTATTGACAAGAACAAAACGTCGCATATTGGATTAGAAATATTCTGTTTATTGAGGATAAATTTCATATACATATATATTTATTATGTAATTATGAGCTTCTTGTTCGGTTTTTTTTACGCTATTCAAAATCGAAAAGAAATAGAGCTAATTAAAGCGAGCAAACGTTGGGCGACCATGTTGACGACAATAAGGTTTATTATTTTTTGCCACAAATGCTTGACCATCTAAGCTCACCTGGCATAACTAGATTTGGTGAAAAAAAAGAACAAAAAAAAGAGAGTTCAATTTTGACGAAACAAAAAATACAACGTACAGAGCAAGTGAAACATTCTGCATGATATGTACCACCCATCGCTTCAAGATATTTGTCGCCTGGTTCAATAGGAAATTCGCATCCACTACATTTGGTTTGAAACATTCGTTGGTAGTCTAAAAATATACATATTGTATTTAATATTTTTATCTAGATGCAAAACTTTTTCAGTCAATATTACCGCTAATACAATATGGCTGGCCTTCTTCAACATGAAATGATCCATTACCGATTTCTCGTCGGCATGCTGTACATACAAAACACTCAGGGTGCCATGTTTTTTCGAGTGCATGAATGCATTCCTATTTGTTTTTTTTTGTGATTGTAAAATCAATAAAAATATGATTTAGATAATTTTACTTTCAATATTTTATGACCACATTTAGCACAGAAAGGTGCAAAATATTGCTCAAAATCAAGTTCACAAAATAATTTTCCATTTTCTTCAACAAAACCACATTCCATTAGATTTATTGAGCAATGTGAACAAGTAAAATGATCGACACAATAGCAACGATCCATAGCCGAAATAAATGGACCTCTATTCAGAATTTTTATAGAAAAGTCAAACTCATATATATATATATGCCTGGCAATTACCGTATACGAATTGCACATGCAAAACATATAGCAACTTGATTTATATTATCATTTGGATTCAATGAAGCACTACCTTTGATACCTTTCTTGAATATACGACGGCCTATTGCAGCTGCATCTTGTGAGCTTTTATTTATTGATACATTGTCCGTTACTATAAATTTAAAATATATAATTCAAAATATATTTTTAAATTCAAAAACTTTACTAATTGGCTTTGCAGGCGAAACATGAGGTACCGAATTTGGCTGTTGATGTGATTCGTTATGAGGTATTGGTTTTGGCATAGAATGAGATGATGCTGGTTGATACGTATTGGCACTTGAATTTATCTATTTTAAAAAGATTTTTCACGTGTTCAAATATATTTACCTTTTCGATTGTTCTGTATGATGATCAGAAGCTATATCAATACTGAAGAAGAAGAAAAAGAAAAGGTACTCTAAGGCACTGTACAAACAAAGAAAAATGGTACACAAACATTCGCATGCGTGATTTGGTATTGATGTAAAATAATGATCAACTTCAAGTCATGAAAAACTGTAGTTACATCATGCATATAGATGTGCATTGTCTAGTTTTTATTATGTCTACCTTTTAAGTGTACGTTCTATGGTATCTGTTACATTTTCAGCAGAATAGAGACCGATTGGTGTATTAGTACTTGCACTTATTACAACCTGATTGTGTGATATCGGCATAGGAATCTATTCAATAAAATAGATTTATCTAAACGTTTATGGTGTATATCAAAGTTATATGAATTGTATCTTTATACACGTGGATCTTGAACATCATTTTTGTGTACTCAAAAAGTGAATACACTCCAGAATCGGTCAGTGTGTCCGGCCGTAGGCGCGATAACTTTCGAAAGGAGAGTCAGACCGTGATGAAATTTTCCACACAGTTCAATCTCATGAATATCTCGGTCGAGTTCGAAGATGAGAAGAATCCCTCAAGAGATGGTTGAGTTATCGATAACATTGTCATTTTTGACCAGGCCATCCCTGAGGAGGAGTACAGGGATTTTTTTTCAAAAAACAAATTTTTCTCAGAATTATCCACAACATATATAACTCGACTCAGTTTTTAACGCTGATTCCGAATCTGATATTAGTTTTGAACTAAACCGTAGCTTTCTAACGAAACATCGCCTGAAAAACGTTTCACAATGCACAGAAACTGTATCCAGAAATCAAATTGCCTAGTTTCTCATGATAATTTTGATGTTCCGACATTCTAGAATGACTCATATGTCCCATGCACTTTTTCCGGTACACATAACTCTCGGATGAAATCCGAAGTTTCCACATTTATTTTTACAAGGATTATTCTTTTTTAGCAAGTATTTGTTTTGATTGTAGAGAAAATAATAGAATTCAACAAATTCAAGCTAGAATAGAAGGGAAGGACTCCATTTCTGATCAAATTTTCAACTAGATCCAACTGTTATTATTTTTCAAGAACAAAAAAGGTTCGTCTTATCATCGTCAAGTGTAATGCAATACTTATATAAATACCTGCGAGCTATGATGTTGAGGCGGCGGTTGATATTGAGGTTGAGGTACAACATGTGCTGGTGGTCTATGCTGCGCTGGTTGATGAGTCGGAAAATTTGCACGACTATTATAGTCAGCAGTAGTTGGAACAGCACCTCTATTAATTAGAATATTTTAAAGAACGGTTTTTGTTTGTTTTGTTATTTTGACTAACCTTTGTAAAATTAAGTCCAATACATTACTTTGCCGTTTAATGAGTTCGTGAGCTTCTTGATGTTGAAGAAATTCAGCTGATATTTGACCAATTCTAAGAATATAATCATTCGTTCGCATTCCACATCGTTCACTTAAACTATTTGGATTAACGGTTTGAATTTGTAATGGGCCACCATGATCTCTTCCACCTAAAAATTTCATTCAAAAGCAAATTTGGACTCTTGTTTTCCTGGAGAAAAAAAAAGAGTTACCCGCCATTCGAAATCCCCATGGCACACTATTCGAATCACGTTGAATAGTTACATGAAGCATTGTATACGTCGACATCGTAAGTTTTTTGCTATGTCAATTGCTACTAAAGATCTTGATATATATCAATGAAAGGAAATTCATGAATCATGCATATGTCCCCTTTTAGTCTACATACAGACAAAATGTTAGGTCAAAAATGTTCCTTCATTTGAATATTTTTTCTCTCTTAAATCAATGAAAAAACAAAATTTACAGATGGAACTTTTTGAAGAAGAAAATCTCTCTCGTTCTCGTCAATCTAACATCCATACGCGTCTATATGATTGATGTGCAGTAATTTATTTTAGCGAAATACCTTTTTGTTTTTGAAATTATTGTCGGTTCCTTTTTTTGTAATCCGAGAAAAAATACAAATAGATGATTGTTTCTGCTTAGAATAAATAACCTTTCAATACAATGATATTTATGACGACTCTTTTTAGACAAGATTTGTTCTACCCTGCTAAGCTATAAATCAGGAAAATAACATAATGGCTCTTTCTCTCGCTCTCTTGATTTGGCTGTTGTTATTCGTATTTGTCATTTTCCTAATGTCAATAATAAATTCGATAGTACGCCAAATACTTTTCTCCTTCTCAAATGCTGCCAATACCTAGTCCATATCAAGAGACCATAAACATTGATATCATCATCGCCACATTTTGTGGTTGTTCTTTTGTCGATCGGCATTACTTTGACAATATCTTATTTTGTCCGATAACAAAATGATATTCAGCCGATAATAACAGAAAAATATGCTTTTAGTGATAAGAATGCTGTACAATGGAGAAAAGGGATTTTTTTATCATTGACATTTTTTATGCGATTCAAGATTAATTAGTTTCTATGTCAGTCTGACATATTTACAGAATGTTAGTAATGCTTAGTCAATTAATTCATAATCTTTACCACATGAATTCTAAGTTTCCGCAAGAGTTAGCGGTTAAGCAACATGTTCACTGGAAATAATCGAATTTTCTATATCGAATTTGTTGAATTTATTGTTGGTGATCATTCTTCAGCTAAAATTATTATAATTTTTTCTGGAAATGTTTTCTTTTTCGAATGGATTTTATAATTTCCTGTACTGATATTAAGTATTTATATTTATTTTGAATCGACATTTTTGCACCTTTAATAATAAAAATCGACTATTGATATCTCATAATGGTACTTTTACGTACACTAGAAATGGTCATTGGATTTGTTTGTGCTCTTTTTTCATACTCTCAGCGTATATGTGATGTTGACTTGCAATCAAGTCTGAGATGAAATTATTTCGATGACACATGAAAAATGACTCAGAGTTGTTTTGATGCAAAAATGAGGAAAAGAGGTAGCATCGGCTCTTCTAATATTTACGTTGCAATCAAAATAATTTTCATGGACCGACGCAATGTGGAAAGAGAAACGAAAAAGCGATATGTCGAAAACTGAAGCATAGAGAGAGAGAGAGAGAGTCATTTATTACACCTATGATTTGTTGTTGTTTTTATCTTGTTCTCTACTATCACGTGCATCTTGATTGTTTAAAAATAACTATCTTTTGTTGACAAAGAATGCTCAAACGAATAGTAACTACTAGTGTTAAATGATGACAATTGGTTCGAATAAGATCAAATCGATAAAACGAATGACTTTACGAAAGTTGGTAGTATGATTTTATAGTTTTAATTTGTTTTTGCACTTTCACATACTGTTTAACTTCAATGAATGATTCATTGTCGATATGCTTTGATCAGATTTATTGTAGTTGCTTTTCACTACACACAGTTAACATTCATTTCAACGATCAACAAATTAATGCAGTTAGTTCTTCTAACGATTCAATATCGTTGATAGAAATTTGCTTATACCGAAAATGAACTACTGTAGTTTACACATTAGATATTACAATCAATGTACATTTATCTATTTAGATAGATTTTTTTCATATTCAATTGTAATATTGAATGATCATTTAAGTCGAATAAACTCTTACATCTTTTCATCTACGTACACTTTTGACTTAATTTATCAGAATAAGCACCACAAGCGTTACTTTGTGAATTGAGACTATTGAATGTTAGCTACTATTTAAAACTCAGCAGACAAAAATCAGACTACAAAATACTCTTTCGTATTCTTTTAAGCAACTATCGTATGCTTGTCGATCAGTTTCAGATTTAATGTCCTCTTCACTGACTTATCAACGAAAACAAGCGTTTATTATTGGCATCAATGATTATGTTTCCAGTCCATTAGCTTGCTGCATCAATGATGCTGAAATATTGAAAAATACTCTTGAAAGTATTGAATTTACTGTAAAAATGCAAACCAATCCTAATCTCAAAGTATTTCATCAGACTTTTAATGAATTTGTTGCTGGAATTCAGCCTACTGATTGCATACTGTTTTATTTTGCTGGCCATTCGAAACCATATGAGCGTGAAAATTATTTACTAATGTCGGGTCACATTTATGATACAAATAAACCTGAAAGTAGTAACATGATGGACAATACTGTTTCAATAGGACATATCATGAAAGTATTAGTTAACAAAAAGCCCAGTGCTACAATATGTATATTTGATTGTTGGCGGACGTGTACGAATCATAAAGAGCTCAACGCTCAACCAAGTTTACTCTCTGTGAGAGCACCAACGAAAACACTGGTAGCATATTCAAACTGCATACGGCCAGGGGCATGTAGTGAAACAGGAAATGGTGAACACGGTTATTTGATGGAAAATTTGTTAAAATACATAAAAAATCCTAATATTGACATGGAAGCGTTGTTGAGAAAGGTCGGCCGTGATATCCATACTCAAACCAACGGTTCAAGAGTACTATATCAAAATAGCAGTCTCAATCAGAAGATCTTTTTGGTGTCAACGAATGTTCAAAGTGAGAACATATGATTTTTCTCGCGTTTTATTGGTTCTTCCTTTGAACTACAGTGACGAAAACTGCAATTGTTGCCAATCTATATACTAGAGAAATAGCACCTTTTTCTTATATAGCATACGGAAAACATGTCGTTTTTTTTCATTGTCAAAATACTGTCCCCGACAAAGAATTTTTACAAGACAAAATAAGATTTTTTTTCATTCGATTTCATTTTATTTCAACAAACATCAATAGAATACTTGTTTTATTTTATATCTAGATACAAATGGAAATTCAGTGGATAATTCTCCATCGACTCATATATCTATTGGTTTGAATAGAACAAGTCCAAGTTGTCCAAAAGAGCAAGTTCAAACACGAAGCGAAGGTATTGTACGAGCGACCAGTACAGATGCTGCCGAAACAAAATCGTCCCTTCAGCCTTGCGGGTGTTCTCAACAAAAACTAACGGCTGCTTCAATTTTAGATGACGGAACAAGCGCATCAGGAGCAGGAAAACACACATCTAAACCAATGAGTAAAACTGATGGAGTAATCAAATTAGCAGGCAAACCTCATAAAGTTGCACCGGAATTGCAAAGTACACCTTTGAGACCTCCAGAAATATCATTGCCTTTATCTGATGCATACCACCTACCAATTAAAGAACGAAGAGTAAAACCATATCCAAGTAAAATATTTGCCGATCATGCATCGATTCCGTTTGACTTGCAAACTCTATTCGGACATCTCATGCATGGTCTTTCACCAATGAACAAAGAGGGCCCGATGAGTGGCAAATGTATTCATGAAACTGATCAGATGAAAGATTTTCTTACACGAAATTTTGGTTTTCACAATATTGTTGGTAAGTGTATTGTGCAAGGTGTTCAAGCATTCAATTTGGATACACTTCCGTCAACTATGGATCCCAACAGAATAATTTACTTTCCACGTGAAGGTTCTTCTGCGTTTACTATGACTGTTTCTGAAATTCAGCGTTGGCAAAACTCTTTCACTGTTTATGCTGATCGAGAGATTCCAGGACTGGAAAAATCCTTTATTCAGCGAGCTCTTGAAGGTAAAAGTATGAATGGTCGTGAAGCTTTTCATATGAAATTTGTCGTACGTGTTTCCGATTGTCCTGTTATGATGAAGTTCGATGCAAAAGTTTTGCCGCGTTCGCTCTACGACGACTGGCCAAATCGTATCAAACTCATTTCGGTGACAGGCGTTGATTTTGCCGGGCGAGTACATGATGTTGATGATATTCTAGTTTATATCACTAATTGGAGAAACGTCTTTGAGCTTGATCAAGTAACAGGCAAAATGGCAGTATTTGATGGCAGAGATTTTCATCCAGTGAAAAATCATCCACCTGTGCTACTTAGCGAAAATCTTCTGCTTGTCCATCTTAAACGTATGGCAAAATTCAGATTACGAGTGTGTGATCGAGAAAAAGTACAAATCGTAGTTGAGACAGGCATTGGTCTTGGCATTTTTTCTGGCAAACACATTGGAATCGATAGTCAAGTACGAAGATTGGCTGCTCATGCCATGCGATGCGTCATAAAAGAAGAAGGTGCTACATACACACATATTCGTGCTATTGTGTTTGCTTTACCAATCTTCTCCAAAAAGATTGGTGACTATCAAATACCCGATGTCTATCATGATTTTGTCAACGAATTTCATAAGAGCAAATATCATGGACCTATACCTGTGCTTATCGTTGATCATGATATGCATGAATTAGCTGTAGCAATAGCTTGTCGTGGTTTTCGTGTTTCTGAACTCAACCCAGCAGATTCGCATGGTGTCTTTGGTGAGTACTGGCAAAATTATGGGCCTGCAGTGGAAGAGAAGCTCGCTCTAACAACACTGGGTCTACTTGTTCAACATCATTTGATTAATCGTTCGGTTCTCGACGACAGTCGTTATCACATTATATAACTTCAAATATTTTCAAATAGAAAATACTATTTTCTTGGATAATCAAGTGATTCTCTTATTACTATTTTATTAATTCTCGATCAAATGTATGAACAGCATAGTACCCATCGAGGAAGAATGTTTTTGTCAGAGATTAAAATCTCTCTGATGAATTCAGTTTGCATTTCATGATTTTATACCATTGAAATATAGCCAGATAGACCAATTCAATGAAAAATCATACATTCTTGTTTACATCTTGAAGAAGATACTTATCGAAATGTAGTAGAACTCTTTCGTACGTATTTTTGATTGGTATAGAATAGATGATCTATTCACATGCCGACTAAGGAGTGAGTTTTCTGGCATATATATCAAAGCTAGATGTCACCTCATAAAAAATTTCATATTTATGTTAATATCGGAGCCCTCACCTGCAGGTTAGCGATACTTTAAAGTGCACTAAGGTGTGTGGGTGAGGTTGTTAAAGGCTGACTTTGAATGTTCCTGGTGAAATGGCTTTCTCAATTAATCAGTCGCTTGCAATATTGTCAATGTTTTTATATGCGTCACATTATGCCATTGCTCATGGTTTTCAGAAAAAAATCATCAACCAAGTGAGATGAGCATTATTTCTAGATTGCCGAGCCAATAAAATCTCAATGCAACTTCTAAAAAGTACTTTTGCTGCTCAAAAAACGATTTCCAATTAAATATGATGAAAGCTAATAGCAAGCATTTGAGGACTCACTAAAATGTTTGAAGGTGTGGGAAGAGAGCCAGAATCGTGTGCGATGAACAGGCTTTAGTTATACTCGGGCTGTTGAATATAATGAAATCATCACATAGACAGTGAAAGAAATCGAAGTCTATCAAGTAATTTCTACTTTTGAACGCTGCAAAATACTACACATCGTACATAAATCATCATGAAAGCAGCTATTTCACACCGATTGCTTTTTCCTATGCAAATACAGATTTTATTTCTTGGTTTCGATGAGTTCTCTTATGCAGCTCACGCTGAAGTTTTCGCTTGTTTCAAAGTAGAGTCCTCTCCTCACAGTGTTGTTGGGCATAGATTTAAACTTAAAAATAAATATAAATTGAAAATGATGACACAGTTAGAAATGGAGCGCGAAACGCTGCAATATCTAAGCGAATCATTCGATGAAAAACAGAATATATGACTTAGTTGGCAGCGACCATCACGTACAGCAGAGCTATTTGGCATTGAATTAGTTTCATAAGTTATTTTCAAGAGGATTTCTAAAACGAACAAGAACATTAAAAATATTTTTAAAAGAGTTCAGCTTATATATAGTTTGAATACAGCTCATGCAATGCCTAAGTGCATTTTAGGGTAAATCTGTCAGCCTAATCATCATGCATACCAAGATATTACCTACATTCACGTACTATTCATAGCCGCCCGTACAGTAGCACGATATTCAAGCGCACAGTCAGTGAACAATGCTGATTTTATGTCACAACATAAATATTCTGCAGTGTTCTTTGTTTGTTTTAGAATATTCACCATATCGAAAAAAATAACGAATGGCTAATTAAAAATAAAATAAGCACTAAAATGAGCTATACTGACATTTTTCAGCAAGCTGCCGCTGGTGTTGAAAAAGAAGGTCGAATGATTGGGAGAGAAGCTGAAGGTGAAATGCTGGCGAACCAACTCCGAAGTGTCGAACACAGTAAAAGGAAAGAAATTATCATGTGTTGTGTCAGAATGTATACCAATGCGTCTTTTCTTTATCGAATACTCAATAAAACAATGAGAGAATCAAATAATAGTAAAACTGGCACGCTCGGTCCATACTGTTATTTTCTGAAGTGTTATCCAGAGGCGTTAGGACATGATTATTATGTTGGTATCACATATCGTGGCATAAAATTGGACGAAGTAGCTATTGAAATATACAAACAGGCAGTTGGTAAGTACAAGTCATTGTGCTGTTCATTATAGAGCTGAGAGCAAGCGCTAGGTATGGGAAAGCAATTGATATATCTCACTTGTCGGCGATCCCACAGGAGGAAGAAGTTTTAATGCTTCCCAGTAGTAATTTTCGCGTCGACAAGATGAAATATACCGACAGCAAAAATCCAGTTTTTTATTTAACAGTTGTTTGAAGATGCACACGAATAATCATTTACACTCGATTTTAATGAATAAACTTTGCGTGACTTTTAAAGATAATCAATTTCGAATTAACATGAATAAGTATCTTAATATTTCAATTTTCACTGAACTATAATTCTTCCATTGAAGCGAGCTAATGCAGAAAGCCCGCTTTTTATTATCCTTGTAGAATTTTAACTATGAAAAGCTTTTTGTTTATTCTAAGAGTATTGTAGATTATGTTTTCATTCAATCAAATTTATTCATCATTCCCTTTATAATGGCGACGAAAAATGAAAATCAAATAAGAATCCGTGGTCGGAGGATAAAATAGCAGAATGAGCTTACTGTGTAAAAATAGAGGTTGACATAATTGGAGGAGCTTACGAGGAAAAACGACAAAAAGTAGAAATCGATCATTACATTATTGATTTAAGCAAAAACATTCAAATAAGAAAGTTCGATACAAGAAAATAGCGCCCCATACAACGAATAGCTTCAAGAAGAACAGATCGTATTCCACGTCAAAGATTTTTGATTAGTTAAAAAAACGTTGAGTCAATCAGTAACGAATTTAACCATTTTTGTCTAGTTACCACAGAATGATTATACCGCCATGGGCACAAGCTAGATATCTGCAATGCTACAGTGATAGAAGAAGTCGTTGCTGGAATCATTCAAGAAGGTAATCTGTTGAATCCATCACACCCGATGACTGCTGTTAGACTATCAAAGACGTTAATGACGGTAAAAGATCCTAGCCTAGATGAAATTGTAGCGTGTTGCATCAGATTATATACAGATAAGACCTTTTTATGCTATGGAGCGAATAAAGCACTTCGAAAAGGAGATCTAAGTAAAGTGGACACATTTGATGCATATTGTTATTTTTTAAGTTTAATGAACGATATAAAATCATTAATATCAAAGTGCCATATGCAAACTGTTTATCGAAGTATGACACTTGCATCGGACGAAATCGAAATGTACCAATCAAGTGTAGGTACATACAAGGCATGGGAGAAATTTTCATCCACAAGTAAAGTACGTTCAGAAGCTGAAAATTTCGGTCCAGTTTTATTTATCATACTTTGTTTTGGTCATTTACGACACGACTGCGGAATTGACATCAGCTCGCTTTCAAAATTTCATGACGAAAAAGAGATTTTACCGCAGCCAGGTACAAATTTTCGTGTCGATAAAATGAAATATGATGAAGAAACAACGCGGTATCGATTCTATTTGACGGTTGTCTAAAGCTGAAATTAGCTTTCTTTATAAACTTCCTAATATACGCTACAGCCCCTCTTTCTAGATAGCACTCATTTTCAATAAAGATATTCTTACTGATGCAATAGCAATGCGATTTATTAGTATCGATCGATATCTTGATACGTTCATTTTAAAAGTATGTATCTATCGTACTGCAGCCGTAAAACATCATTAGAGATATATTGATAGCAAACTGAAAGACTAGCAGAATTCATTTTTTTTCTACAGGATTCATCTATTTGATGAGAATGGATTAGTCTTGATCAATTGACTTGCTTATGATTTGTTATTGATGCAAATTTTTAGTATTTTGTTTTTTTGTTGTTCTTTATTTTATACATTTACGAGTTGTTCAATCAGACGAGAAAAGAAAGAAAAAGTACACTTATCTTTAATTTTTTGTTTTGTTTTCATTTTATGGAAAAGAAAGAGAAAATAAAGTAAGTGTTTTCTTGTAGAAAACTAATTTTAAATAGAAGTTATGAAGCAAAAAAAACGAATACGAGTAATATGACAACATTGAAGGGTGGTACCAAGAAGAAAACGAGAATTACAAATAAAATAAGAAAAAATGAAGTCCGTTGTTTGATTTCATTAAGCTTTGGGCAAAACTAAAATTAAAATTAATAATTTATAAAATTGATATTAGACAAAATATTAGTATTTTTAGATTGTTAATGTCAAAAGCAAGAAAAATGTTACTCAAAAGTTTTTTTAATAAAACACAGAAATAAAATAAAAAATGACAGACCATTGGAATGTTTCTGTCAAATTATTTCATAAAGCTTCAACGACTTCTATAACAATAAGAATATTTAGCTTTCTTATTATACAGATTGAAATATGTTCACTCAATAGAATAAATAAAACAAAAAGGAAACCTTTTAACGATAGCTATGATGAATAGTTCGTATTTCTTAGAAGAATATAAAATTTAGAGAGAAAAAAGGCAACATTGAATTGAACTTACTTTCGTATGCTTCGTTTGAAAAATGCTGAACATCGTGATCTGCATCTTGATTTAATTTTTCTAAACATGGTTTTACATGTAAAGCCAATGCACTAGAAATAATACGTTAAAGTCAAATAAAATTTTAAAAAAAGTCTTTGTTCATTTACGTTGTGTCAAGTACTGGATAGATACGTTGTAATGTTTTAGCTACATTAAATCGTACATTAGCTACAGGATCACTAGCAAGTGTAACTACTGTTGGTAGCATCATTCGTTGAGTGATCTCTTGACCGCAAGGTTCAGCTAAAATCTATAAAAAATAAAAGCCAATGAAAAATAAGTAATTGAAGGATCATTTGTATACATTTATAGCAAATAGACAAGTCATTCGATATAAATAATTTTGATCACGAGCTAATTGTATAACTTTTGGTATGACTGTATTTTGTGCCCATTCACGACCGAATTTTTCAACTAATTTTTTTAAATTATTTGTTGCAGCTTCACGAATAGCGAAAACATGATCTGTTAGCCAACTCATACAAAGACTGCTAAGTTTTTCATCGAAAAATTCTGCACCCTATAAAGAAAATGATCGACATAGAAACACATGGAAAATATAATTATAATTACTAATTGTCCAGCTAAAAGTGGCATGTATTCAATAATACCAAGACGTACACGCCATTTAGCATCACTAGCTAATTCAACAATTGCTGGAAGTAGACTTTGTGATAATTGACGAACGCCAATAACCTTCGAAGAAATGATGATTTGATAATTTTAATTCTTACGATTACTCAAAAAATACACCTCATTTGTTTTCAATCATTGATTCATTTTTTTCTTACATAAAATAGATTCTATTTTCAAATAGGATAGTACACTACTATCAATATTGAAGTAATCGATAGAAATCTATTCTTTAAATATTTCTCTTTGATATGCAAAATAAATAAAGACGATCTCAAAACGATAGGCTATTGTAAATCTCTGGTCAGAATTCTGCTATGTGCAGTTGGAAATATAGATGTAGAGAAAATAATCATGTTGTTGATGAAACATCACACTTGAGACTATTTTCTATTTTAGACGATTCATACCTCATTGATACATTCAAGATTTGAAATAATATTGAGTCGAACTTCGGGATAATCATCTTTTAATTGATTGAGAAAGAGTGGTAAAAGATGTTCAAGCGTACTAGAAATGAAGAAACAAAAAAAGAAATTACAATGCACATTACTCTTGGAAAAATAAACTACATACTTATCCTTTCCAAGTATAGGTGACAGACCCATAATAACCGAAGCTAAAGCTGATTTAACATGTTGATTCATATCGCCAACCATATCTTTAACACAAGGTAATATTTGTAACATAATTAATTGTTCACGTGAATCAGCTGGTAAATTAGTACAAAAATCTTTTAATTTCGATGCTGCTGCTGCACGTACTTCAGCTTCAGGATCTTTTAATAACGAACAATAGGCGCCAACTAAATCATTCTTAGTTATTTCTGGACCAACAGCTTTTTGAAGCTACAGAAAAATAAACATTTTCAAGTAAATGAATGCATGAATATAAATAACGCACCTCGCAAAGTTTATCAGCAACAACATAACGTACACGCCACGATTTATCTTCTGTTGCAGCACGTAATGTTTGCATCATTTGATGTTCAAGATCTTCATGTCGAAATAGTCCAGCCATAGCAATACCAGCTTCGACAGCTAATAAACGAACACTATCTTGTTCATCATTTGCCAAATTAGTAAATAATGGTACGAATTCTTGTCGTAATAATTCTGGTTCAACAGCTTTAGCGAATTCTCCTAATTTCGATGCTGCTGCACGACGTACCATTGGTGTATCATCTTGACACAGACTTTTAAATAATCTTTAAATTTAAAAAGACAAACGAAGAGTTTTAATCGAATCAAGAAAAATAAAAAGACTATAGTTACTGTCGTAATTCGCCTTTGACATGATTTGAAACACGTGCATAACAAACCGATATAAGACCAGATGCTGATGTACGCGATGTAAACCAATCACCTTGTGCTAAACGTTTAACTGTTGGTACAAAATACGTTTCTAAATCTGTTGTTGAATGTTGTGGTGCTAATGCACGTAACGATTCGACAGCTTTATCACGTACAATGGTTTCTTCAACTTGAGCCAAACTTTCCAATGGTGGCTAGACAAGAAAATATTAAAAATAATTCAATAACAACAAACAATATTCAAGTCATACCAATAAAACATGAGCATAACTCTCACCGCCAACAAGTTGTGTAAATGTACCTAATTGTTCGGCTAATGCTAGTAGTACTTCATCCTCATCATAAATAGTGTCTAGAGAAAATAACAAAGGCTTCGATTAATCATAACAGAAAAACAAGGTGCTTGAAAAGAGATTAACCAGTTAGAAATGGTATAAGTTCAGATCGTGTACGTTCAACGCCAAGTGCTAATGCAATAGTGGATAATTTTTTTATACTATTCAAACGTAACTAAGAACGAAAATAATGAGTAAGAGAAAAAAAGAGTTTCGAAAACAAAAAAAATGTTTACTTGAACATCTTCATTGCGAAGTTCATCGATTAAAACAGCAATTGGATAAAGACTTTCATCGGACTGAATATCTCCAGAGGCCATTCTTCTTTTGGTAAAAATTCAAATCTAAAGATTAGTAAACGTACAATTAGATGACAACGATGGCAACATTATAACGAAAAAAATGTATACTAAATTTACAATACAATGTAGGAAAGACCATTAAGATATTTCTATTGCCTCATCATGTTGTAGTTGTGCGACATCTTTCGACTTTGCAAGATTTATGTTGGCAATCAGTTATTTAAGAAATTATTCATGTTTCATCTCATTTTTCAGCTGAAGAAATTTGCATGGAATTGTTGATTAATTGTATTTTTGAATTGTCGTGACATGATAATCTTAGAGCTTGCTTTATACGAATACAAGAAACATCATTTAAGACACGCAAATGATAGAGTACATAATTTCGAGATCAATGGCTATATCTCACTACAAGATCATTAAAAATGTAATGATTGCATTGCTATAAAAACATTGATGTAATTTCCTGATAGCTTCGTATCAAGGTCTATTGTGATTGCATCCTTGGTTTCATGATATCGAATTTGAAAAACTCCTCGATATGACTCTCTTGCATAAAATAGAAATGCGATGATAAAATTACAAAACAGATCGGAAGAAATATTAGAACAATTTATTTGAATATGACACAAGTAAAACTATGCTAATATCATATGACATTTGTTGTTTTTCATCATGAACAAGATATAGAATGAATCAACACGTTTTCAAACTCCGGTTTTTAGAAATTTAAAATGTCACACTAAAAACGCCATGTATTTCTCTAAGAGTCTTACTTAAAAATAATCTAAACAAATTTAAATAGGTCAATACTTTTTCAGCGGAGTGAATCATCATGGCAACCGTTCAAGAAATATATTTTCCAATCATATTCTGTCTAGATTTGTTTTCATTATTATTATTCATGCTTCGATGAGATTTCGGTGAATGAAATATTTCCCACATTCATCATGGGAATCATGAACTACTAAGACTACATAATAAAAAGAGTTGACGCATCCATCCTGAATTTACATAATGGCATAGAAAACGGTCCAATAGTATATACAATGAAAGCTATTTAGAAGTATCACGGAGACCTCAACAGATAATATTAGTTTTTACTTTTGATTGCAGACATTTCGTCTTGAATATTCAAAACCTAGAATCAACGGAGAGAAATACGATTTCACGTTAGTATCAATAAAAGATTATGATTGTTCTGTTTTCATCGAAATTCTGAAAAATTATCATCAAGAATCGAAGTTCAACAATAAATGGAAAAAAAGAACTCTCATTTGGGAAATGAATACTCGGAAGAGCTCTGTAACTCAAAAAATCTATAAATAATACTGATATAGGTTTCATTCTCATTTTAATTGATAACATGCGATGTCGAAGAGAAAAACAAAAGCTTCTTCCTGTTTTTTGTTCGTTCCAATCATAACCTATAGTTTCTCTTTATCGTCTAAGTACACATGTGAAACGATATTCGCTTTGATAAGAATGAAGAACTTGTTTTGTAAATATTACTTTATACACACGTCTACAGATTTGGTGCTCTTTTAAAAAATAAAAACATGCTACGTTTAATGATTATATTATTATTATTTGGTGACTTTCATTCAATACGAAATCGAATTTTGTTGATTCTATAAATGATTGCATTAGATAAATTAATTCGCTGTACATATTGATTTACAAATCCAGAACAAATAAGTAAAGCTAAGAGATAATGGATTAAATCCGTAGCTGTACTGAAACCATTCGAACAGACTTATCAAAGCTAATCAGGTAGGAAGTTTTATGGCTTTCAACAGACTATTTTCCTTTTCTATTATTTATTACTACTAAAATTAAATTAAAAAAAATCATATTAACATAAGATTGGCTCTCTATTCAACCTTGAGTTACAATCGCCGACATAAAAACAAAACGACAAACCATACATAAATCAAATCGAACGAAGCAGTCCTTTTATGGGACTTCATTTTGCTTTCTGCAGAAAAATATTTTTCAAATCTCTATTGAGTGAAAAAAAACTGTTTATGTTATCGGAATGCTTCGTCAATAGTTTGTTGTGGATTAACTAGGTAGGTTTATTTGTGGCGTTTTCCCTCCGATAGTATACGACATAGATAGAGCAAATAAAGTACGAAAAGTAAGTTTCGCTTCGTAAACTCACAAGTAATATTTAAAAAAAATAACTGATCTTACACACTTGATTTATGCTTTTTAAATTCAGTCATATTAGCAGTTAAATTTATTTAAGTAATGAATAATAATTTCAGCAATGGTCAATTGTATTTAATTGATTTTGTTTTCTTCGATTAAACTAGACCAGGTTGATTCTCTGATTTGAAAGATGTTCTTTTAATTAGACAGAAACCATTTTCAGTTCTCAATTGCTTGTTGTTGAGACGAATGGATCAACACCATAAGTATTAGAATCGAATAAAAAGAATTTGCATTAATTCAATGTGTGCCAATATCTTCGTTATAAAATAGTTGAACCATTTGCACTATTACTGATCCGAATGTATTATTTGACCAACGCTATTCGATAGAGAAACGAGCCATTTAAAAAAAGGTTAAAACAGATGAGAAAAAGGTTGAACTAAGCATCTCATTTTATATTTTATCAATAGATCAACAGTATTTTCGTTCGCTTAATAATTCATCAAGAAACTCTTTTTAGCATGTGCGTTTTTTAATTCGAATAATTGATCGAAAGAAAGAAGAAGAAAAAAAGGAGAAGCAGTAAAATTCATAACTGCGATGTTTTTTTGTTCTGATACATATCAACATGTTTTTAAGACACGCTACTCATTAGTAGTCTATTTAGTTAGTAAGCCAACAGTGTCTTTTTTTAAATTTTGTTTTATTATGTAGCGAGTGACGGATCTAGCTTTGTGTTATGAACTAAATGAAGGTGATCATAAAAATTTGACTTTCTCTTTCTCGAGATCATTATTTATAAACAATTTTCTCGTACGTACACCAGAAAAGAAGAAAAAAAACTGTGTCAATTAAAGCCATTAACATACTTGAAATTCCATGATGAAATCTACTAACTATTGCATTGAAGATACTATTAATAGAAACTGCATATTTGCTAGCTTCAAACTTTTTAATTACTTTACTATTCGAACAATAGAAATAGTATTGTGCGCGAAGACAAATGAATATAATATGTAAAATGTTAGAAGTTTAAAAAAAGAGAGAGTTTTATTGAAGGGCGTTCGTATTTTTCTTTCCACGTTGACGATTAGAAAAGTTTAAAATACAACTATTGGTTACTATAGATATTTAGTCGTGTCACTATTCTGCTAGTTGTTTTTCTTATTCAACAATAAAGAAATAAGGATTAAACTTTATGCAACCGTAATCTCTTCGACAACAAGATGGTCACTCAGTTTTTTTTCTTCTGTGTCACCCGAAATTCGAATGTATGTTTTTTTTGCTTAAAAGCAAACAAAATAAGTTCCTTTAGGAATAAAAACATGTTGTAATAAGTTTCTTTTTATGGTTAAATCATTAGATTTCCCGTGTGTACGCATTAAACGGTAACATGTCTATTTTTGTCATCATTATACATGCATTAAATTTTGTTAGCTCATAATAAATTCAATCTACGTTAGCCAATTTTTCTATTTGTAATAAAACACATTGGTAACATTTGGAAAAGATATGCTCGAGAATAGCGAATAGGTTTCGACTACTCCGTAGAAAAAAATCAACAACAAGAGCAACAACAGTTTTTATAGTAGGAAGCCAATTGTGATCTCTTCCGATCAAGAGTCGTGACAATGCTATATTAAGTGCGTATGTTGTCCAGTGCATGATAGTTGTTTCTTCAAAGGTTGAAGAAAAATCCCTCATAAGATGTTGATGTTTTGAGAGTAATGAAAAATCAAACCACATTATGCAAAACCAACTGGCTTAAATTAAGCAGTTTCTTTTTTCTTCTTTTTTATTTTCTGTTTTTGCAATCGCTTTTTTATCGTTTTTTTGTTCTGCATTGAAGCTCTCATTACCGACAATCTTAGCAACGAGCAGCATATATAAAGCGAAAGATAATTCTTTTTTTTGCTTTTTTCTTTGCTATTTCTTCAGATTCTTTCAAAAAGAGTTTGACTACTTCGTCTCGTTCTCACAACATTCGACGTGGTAAGAAAAAAAATATCATTTGAATTACATGTCTGAGTCAACAAATTACAATACTCATATCGGATACACAAAGCACTAAATAAATATTATACATTGAGAGCGAGAGCGAGAGAAAAAACAACATAATAGCCATTGGTATAAACTACGTACTGTTAATGTTCAGACAATGACAAATAACAAAGTACAAGATCATCTATTGTAAAAAACAATAGGCAAAGAAAACGAAATCATACAAGTAACACGCATAGTTTTACCTAGCCGATACAATCATTTATCAATCATCAAAAATAGAGATGCACATTCACTTATTTTTTCTAATTTGTTTGAAGCATGCTTGAATTTGGGCATCACACCGTTTATATGTGTTCGATACGAACTCGTGCTATGACATGTTTGTATGCAAACGTAAACTTCGCTGTTGTGTATAACACATAAACATAATCATATAAATATTTGCAAGCGACCTTACACATAGACGAAACGAAGAAAGACAAGTATTCAATCCTACTTATATTGTTCTCTTTTATAGAGGGTGTCTATTTATCAGTGCATCAACATACGAATTCATCATTAAAAATAATCAACGATGTCATCATCATCGGATAGCCTGTAAGTGAACTAACCATAGTAAAATCAAAAAAACACAAGACGAAAGAATTGTTCAATTCAAATAAAATTACAATTTCTTATTTAATTATTTCTTTGTTCTCATTTTCGTCGGCTATTGAATCAACATCTTATCCTATATTTTGTTTGTTCTAGTTATCCTCGTTTGCTTGTTCGTCATCATTGGTTTGTACTTGGTTTTGTGGTATTCATATGTGTTACATTGACAGCTGTTGGAATTGTTTGTACACAGCTACCTGATTTTTCTGATCCAAGAATAGTAATATCATATAGTAAATATTGCTAATATTTTATTTTATTGACATTTCACAGGGATGGGGAGCGCGCGGAAAAGGAACAATTTTTTCACAGTTAATGGTTTTACGCCATGCGTCAGAAAAATTCCGTCTTGCATATGAAATTCCATTGGATACAAATGAACTATTCGGTGCATTTGAACAATTTGTTAATATAACTGTTGATGATCTTGACGAAAGTTCGTATCAATCCGATTTACTTTCGAAGTATGATTTATGGCGAAAGAAACAACCAAATAAAGAATATGATGAACTTATTGATTATCGAGAATTAAACGAATCGTTTTATGATAATGCTATCGATAAAAATGAAGTAGTCGACTATGACGATGATGAAAACTCGGAATCAGCATTAATTTATCAATGGCATCGAGATCGACATTTCGATGTACAAAATTTAATAACGAAATATGTCGACGATAAAATGTACGACTCTTTTATTTTTGAAGCTCCTTATTTATTTAGTTTCTGATAAATTTAGGATTAATATTACTGTATTGGAGTTTGTAAAACATTTACCACAATTCGATAGAACTAATTATCAATCAAATCGATTACCTTTTGAAATGCTTCGACCCTATGCGTATTTACTCGAAGAAAAATATCGTGGTCGAACAGGTAACATTATTTCGTGGAAGAGAAATTCACCAGTAAAATAGCCTAGTAACATAGACTTTCATTTCCGGTATAGAAAGAAATACAAATAGAAAACTATGTCTTCATTTTAATTTATCCAATTCCTTATAGTTGCAAAGAATATAAGCGTATGGAATATCTGTTAATGTATCCTGCGGGCACTATTGCAAAAAATAATTTGACTTGCTCTTCACAGTGCAGTAATTCATTATTAACATAAATGTGAAGTCACACTATAGAAAATCAAATATGCAAGGTACCGGTGTAACATTGAACCCGTGTTCTCATAGAGCTAGAAATCGAGTCGAACAAGAAAAAATCACCGCTAGTTCTCTATATGCAAATCTCGTCATACCATGAGCAAAGTAACCAGATCTCGAGATTCTATAGCAAGCTATCGAGTTATCTACATATTAGTTCAAGATACATTTATTGAACATAATGCAGACGTTGTAGAAATCATATACCAGTTGCTTACAACTACCATGATTAAATCACTCAAGGCTAACAAATAGCACATTTATTCTGGGGGTCAATCTCGCTTCTGTCGCTGTTTTGTTTTTGTTTTTGAATAAAATCTCATTTTCTAATTTGAATTTTAAGTACATTAATCATTTTTGGATTGAGTTCGTGTGAAGGCGTCACGCACAATCGTGCTTTTGTTTTATTTGAGCGTTTATATTCTTATTCATAGTCGCAGGAAGTCATTATGACGCTTCTAAACAATGTAATCCTATGCCAACAAGCCTATGTCATGTTTTGAACGACGATCAATGAATTGTTTTCGTGTTAAATAAACCAGAAAAGAGTATTTCTTAACAGCTTTTTAACAACGATTTAAAGTAGTTCTATTGTGTTGTATATTTTAATCGTGCAAGATTTGCACGAGAAACTCCTGATTAAGAATGAAATTTACTGGACTATTATTTGCCGAGTAAAAATTTATTTAAACGTCATGTATAAGTTCAAACAAAACCAACACTTGATTAAGACGAAAATCAATGGCTACATTTTTTTAGAAAGTCTCGAGGTTTTGCTTTAAATAAATCGAAGAATGATGAATCGTTCAAAGATAATTTATCAGCTGTAAGTCTCATATATTAATTTGATCTTTTGCTGCATAGAAAAGTTTTAGAAGAGCATAAGAAAACCAAAGCTAACTTTAATCTGAATTCATTTATAGGTCGTGATGGTATGATCGAATTTTATTTCGAACGCACACAAGCAAACGATGACATATTATCTCTTGATCATTTACTTTCGATTTGTAAATGGGAAAAAACGTTTAAAAATATGCTTTCTCCTGTTGATATTCCGAGTCTTTCATTAGCAACATTTGTTGCGTTATATTCTTCGAAAAACGATTGTCAATTAATTACAACTGAAGATGTCAAACATTTTCGTTCCGTACTACATACATGTTTACCCTATTATATAAATGGCTATATGGATGTGCCATTGAGTGATCGATTTCTTAATCGTGTTATATTAGAACATCAACCTGGTTATCATACTTATCAAGAACAAACCAAAGCTATTTATGCTGCTGTACGACATACTTGTTTTTACAAGAATATTACACGTTTTATCTATGATCATTTTGTCGATAAAAAATTTATCAATGATTTTCAACAATCAAAAAATAATTCGAAAGTATCAATATCGATGATATTTATATATAATTACAAAATAATAAAATATAATCGTACACGTGATCAAACGATGTGTTTAAGACGACAACCATTTTCAACAAGATATTGTGAGGAACGTGGTTGTATGGATGATTATCGTAATAATTTTTTTACAAAAGCATGCGTTGATGAAGAATTATCATTAGATAATTGTGAAAAATATTGTCTATGTAAATATCATTGTCCAAATGAAACCGAACAAGTTAATCTATTAACACCAATTTTAAAAGCACCTGAATTAATTGAAATATTTGTAAAGAATTTCGGTAGAAAAGGACAATTAGCAACATATCAAGATAAATTCGTTAAACTTATTGCATTTAATTTTGCCAATGCTAGAGAAAAAACAGCAATGGCACAGATATATCAAGGTTAGTTCTACTACTGATCAAGGGAAAAATAAAAAGAAGAAGAATTTTAATATTTCAATGTTTGATTTTAAACTCTTTTCAACCGGATATTACCATAGAGAAGGGTACGGCGTTTTTCAAATAGTCGGGTTGAACTCGACGGGCTCTAGTAGACACCGTAGAAAAAGATAGGATGAAATCAGCCTTAGACGAGTGTCGGATCGTATCTTTTCTCTGGATTCAAAGTGATCAGCTCGATTTTCATTAGCTAGAGGTATGATGGAAAAAGGCAGAAAGGAAAAATATCGAAAGGGGAAAATGTCGAAAATAAAAATATCAAAATCAAAATTAATACAAATGCAGATGGATAGAAATGCTGAAAACGAGAGTATATTGAAGTACAAGCCTCCTGCACCCTCAATTCAATCTTACAAGCTCATGTTCATCTCATATTCTTGTTTTCGACATTTTTCCTTTCTTCCTTTTTCCATCCATTCTAGCTAGACAACAATTGAATAAGATAAACTAAAATATCTAGCTATTATTTAGATATGCTTCTTGTTATAATCGCAGCAGCATTAATTATTGGTATAACAGTATGTTATTTACGCAGTGTTTCCATAGCTTTAATTATTGTTATTGGCGCTGCATTGTCGATTGGCGTGAGCTATTTTGTATATCGTATAATTTATCGTATACCCATATTTCCCTTTATGAATTTAATGTCTGCGTTTATATTGATTGGCATTGGTTGTGATGATATTTTTGTATTTTTCGATACTTGGGATCAAGAAAAAGTAGAATGGTTAAGAACATACGAAGAAAAGCATCAAGCAGATAGTAAAATTTCCGTTTCGTTTCTATGGTCATAGGTTATTTGTTTTGTTTCTTTGTTTAGTTGCAGATAACTTATTAAATAATACAAATACACATGAGAGTCCACCGTCAAATAAAAAAATAAAACCAAGTAAATTAAGAAGACCGTCAAACGCATTTGAATCTCGTCATCGTTCGTGTATATTGAATAATCCTGCAGAAGTTCGTAAATTATTATTACGCGAAGAAGCACTAATCGAAATCATGGCTAAAACATTGAAACATGCTGGTTCGTCAATGTTCGTTACGTCGTTCACTACAGCCGCTGCATTCTTTACAAATATGTTAACAAATATTTCATTTGTTCAAGTATTTGGAGTTTTTACGGGAACATGTATTCTAATTTATTTTGTTATTACAGTTACTGCAATCGCTGCTTTTGCTGTAAGTTTAATCATGCTATGTATATTCGCTAGTTTTGGTTCGAAAAAAAATGCAACGCTGATAATTTATGCAAATTTTGTTTCGTAATTTTCCTATAATGGCGCACACGGATAACAATTATGAAGTCGCTAGCCATTTTAGGTTTCGGGAGGAAAATATAAAGAATTTTATAAAAGAATATTGAAATAGATTCTGCATGATCAATTGTTTTAGCCACTCTATTTCATAGAGGTTGGTTTTTGTTTTTGTTTGATGCATTATTTTACTCTTTTTCTGTTATCACATTCAAGGTTATCTACGAAAAATATATTCAAGATATATCAATCCGTGTACTTTCAATATGTTGTTCTGATATTGTTAATGCATCATCAAATAGTGCAGCAGGAAAATTATGTGTTCGTATTTTAAAAAGTCTTGAAAGATTTCGAAATTATCTTTTTGGCCATTTATTTCCGCTAATCATTATTAATCTACGTTATGTTTTTGTTTTGCTGTTTTTACTTATTGGAGTCTTAGGTTTGATTATTTTTTTCTTCTATGACTTTAGTAGAAGAAATTGAAATTCTTTTCTCCATTCTTTAGGTCTTGTTAGTATTTTTCATTATCCAGAATTAAAAGTACCATCAACGCAAAAAGTTGCATTCTTTCTTCGAGATAATCCCATGGAAGTTTATGAATTTTCAATGAAAAGTCAATTTAATGGTTATTCAAAAGAAGATAAACGTTTATTTGCTTATCCAGCTGTTTCATTTATTTTTGGTATACGCGATATTGATGATGGTTATATATTTGATATGAATGATCGTGGCCAATTATATTTAATGCCAGTTCATTTGAATCGACATACAACACTTGAATTTTTTAAACAATTCATTGCTCATTTAGGAACACGAAGTGATCTATTTTCTTCAAATTATGATCTAGAAAAAGATTTTGAAGCTTTCTATCAAGTAAAATCTTCACATTTTTGATTCATTAACCAATTATATACATGTGTTTAGCTTACAACCGACAATATTCTAACAGCGAAAGTTGCAGATGACCAAGCTAAATTTAATGTATCAAAAACTAATCATGTGAATATGATTAAATATATAAGAAAAGTGAATAGAAGTTTAATCGATCATTTAATCAATGAAACATTACGTACAAGTGATTATAGACTGGAAAATGATCAATCTGATCAAGAAGATAATATTGAAAGTAAATTAGGCGAAATAAATTTAAGTTTGTATAAAATAACTACGAAACAATTAAAAAATCAATTAATTCCAACGATTATTTATTCTAACTATCGAAAATCATTTAATAGAACTTTAGAAAGAATCTATAAAGAGCAGGTTGGTTTTAAAAGAAAACGTTTTTCATTGTATTTTATATGATGCATGATTATAGATTGAACAGACGATCGATCTTAATCAAATTCGAGCTTCTATAAATGGTACAGTACGTGATGGATTAACTGAAGAATATCAAGGTTCAGCATTAAGAACAGCTATGCAATGTTTAACAGGTGCTGCTGGTGCTAATAATGTACCAGCGGATTTTTGTGAAAAACAACTTACTAAACAACGGTCAATCAATTGGGCAGTTTTACCAGATAAGCCTTCGCCGGTTGATGGAACTGTTCGGCCATTTGCAGTTATTATTACTATCCGCGGTAAGAGAATTTCTACTAGAAGCTATCAAGAACGATTTGAAAATGTCGATTTCTCTTGTGAAAGCCAAATAATTCAGTTGCTCTAGTTGAGCAAGTTATTTTCATACTGAGTGTCAATTTTTAAGATGATCAAAAAGTAATTCTGATATTAGAGCAATAGGAAAGGAGCCAACTATTTTGTTTGAAATATTTATCATCAAATGACAATAGTCACTAAATATTCGGGATTCTAATAAAGAAAATAATAATTTAGACGTTTACTAATGGAAAATATGAGATTGCTTTGTGATGATATCAATAAGCTCGAGACATCTTGCATGTAACCAACATAGGTTCTACTGTTATCCCGTTCGGAGGTACATCACTCGTTTTTATTCGCTGATAATAAGCGATTCTACGGAATATACTAGACATTATAACCATTCGTAGTTTACACTGGCCTTTTACTCAGCATAAACAGATTTTATATGGCACTACTTCTGAAGTTAGTCAAGTTCAACAGTTATTGACGCTTTTCATCTTTCGACTTTCAAGAGTATCGTTATTATTACTGAAAAACATCTTTATTATTATTCATTTTAGGTACTCATAGTCGTACTGATTATGATTCTTACAACAAATATTATCTTAAAGTGAAAAATTTCTTCGATCCATATATAGAAGAACATGCACCAGAACACTTAAAACATGCTTGGTTTTCTTCTCCTGGCTTTGCATTTTATGGTATTCAACGTGAATTACTTGTTGGTTCTTATTCCTCCCTGGTAGCATCACTTGGCATTGCTCTACTAGTACTATTTCTTACATCAGGAAATTTATTTATTGCATTATATGCTTTAATTACTATCACTTTTGCTATAGGTAATTTTGTTTTGTAGTGAACATTTCTTTGAAAAACACCAGTTTGTTGTTTTCATTTAGCGGCTAGCGTTGGTATATTTGCGGTGTTAGAATGGGAATTAGGCATTGTTGAAGCTATCATTGTTATTATGTCTGTTGGTTTATCAGTAGATTTTGTAGTTCATTTCGGTGTTGGTTACATTCATACAGATTCCAAAGATATTGATTATGAAAGAAAAAAAGTTAAAACTCGCTATTTATCACAAACATCGGCAACTGATGATCCTGAAAGTACTGAAAGTAAGTGGTTGCTTTTTCGAAAAATGAATAGTTAGGCAAAGATCACCTCTTTTTTCTGTTATGTATTTTAGAAATATGTACTTGGTGTGTTCTATATAAAGAACATCAAATTGAACGTGAAACACGTGTAACAGAATCTATATCTCGTGTTGGCTCAGCTGTATTTATGGCTGCCTTCACAACATTTGCTGCAGGATTTTCAATGACGCTTTCATCTCTGTGCGCTTTTCGACAAATGGGACAATTTCTTATGACAATAAGTATGTTTGCAAACAAATATCAATTTGTAATCGTGATACATTTTCTATTTCTAAATTTTGCTTTTTAGTGTTAACATCGTGGAGTTTTTCGATGTTTTTCTTTTTACCCTTATGTGTGATTATTGGTCCCGTTGGTAACTGCGGCTCAATTCCATTTTCACGCATAATTGAATTTTTCCAACAATCTCGCTGTCAAAATTAATGAAAAACTAACGATCAGATTTAGGTTTTTTTTCTTGATAAAATCTAGTCAAGATCATAGAATAAATCTTATTTAATCTTTCGTCTACTATCCAAAACGAGTGTTTATTCTGTTGTCAGATTGGATAGTTTTATTCCAAACGAATCATATGTCTTATCTATCCGATTGTGATGTATAAGTTGTTTTATTCTCTGTTCTCTTTCACATGTAATGTGCATTAATCTATTCAAGAAGAGAAAAAAACGAAAAGAAAATCAAATAAAAAATACCCATGACTTTGAATCAGTTATAAAACATTTGGTCGGTACATATTTTTTCCTTGTGTCCCATGAGAAGTTGCATGTTGATTGATGATGATGATAATGTTGCCTTATGTGTTATCGTTTTCATTTTCATTTTCTACCTGCCTCAAGTGCATTTGCATTAACAACGTAGTAATCAATATAGTTATAAATATATATAATATATATTTTTCTTTTCGTTGAAGCAAGAGAAAGAAAAGAAAAAGAATAGCAATCTTTTAATTATATGAGGCTACATTTTCAATCATAAATACTACTTTTCATGGGAGCGAGTAAAAGTACACTATTACCTTTAGAAGAGGAGCAGTCGATTTGTAGCGAAACAGGTAAATCTAAATAGTATTGTCCATTTGGCAATTTAACTATTGAATTTATTTTATTTTTAGGTTTTACATCTAAACAACTGCGGCGATTGTACATCCGCTTTCAAGAACTCGGAAAACGAAATCCAACATGTGGATATTTGACGCGCGAAGAACTCTTAGATATACGAGAAGTATCATTAAACCCATTAGGTCAACGTCTTGTTGATGTCATTATAGAAGATTATGGTTAGATTAAATATTTCTCCTTCGCTTTGAATATCACATTTTATAATTCGCATAGGCGAAGCAAATAAAATTAATTTCAAACAATTTGCTACTGTACTTGCTCAATTTCGCCGTGGCAAATCAATAACTGATTTGAATACAAAAGAAAAAAAATTATTATTTTTATTTAGTGTTCGTTTTAGTTCATAATATTGATTGACAGGGAATTTTATTTTGTTTATGAATAGATATACGATCGTAATCATGATTCAAAAATTGATCGCCACGAATTATTGGGTATTTTAAAAATGATGGTAAGTTAAATTTTCAAGAATACTGAAAATTTGAATTTCTATGGCGAAGGTCGGCGGAAATATTCATGACGAACAAATAGCTACGATTGCTGATCATACTATTGAAGAGTTGGTAAGGGAATTTCGGTTTCTGATTTAAAATAGTATCATGTTGATCTATTTATAGGATTCTGATGGAGATTTAACAATTACGTTCGAAGAATTTTGTAAAACATTAGCAAAAATTGATGTTGATGAAAAAATGTCAATGAAATTTTTAAACTAAACTATTTTTTTCCATGTTATGAATCATACTAGTGCATATGTATTTATTTATTAATAAAATAATTTCAAATAAACTTCTTTTAACGTTTTCATTTTGTCTAGTAAATATGTCATTTTATGTTGACATTGAAATTTCAAATGCTAATTTTAATGTTTATCAAATCGATAAAATAATGTCTTTCAGTAATCAGTTAATTGTTTAGATATGCCGGATCCAATTTTTCAAATCTCATTCGAGAACAATTTATTTCAAACGTGATCGTTATTAAAGTTAAAAGATTTTCCATATTTTTTTAATTAAAGTAGTTGGTAACTTGTACTACTTAAATTATCGATATGATTTGCATTTCTGATAGACGCTACTTTTTTCGTGTAATTTCAGTTCAGCAGAAAAGATAGTAAAACAAACGTTTCAATATTTGTAGATATTATTTAATAGATGTCTTCGAAATTCTTTTTAAAAAATATTCAATTGATAACATTCGATGTTCACAATGTTCTCTTAACAGTGCGAAATGGTGCTCCTTATCACTATGCTCGTTTGGCTCGGCAACATTTAAATATTCCAGCTATTGACGAAAATTTACTTCGATCGAATTTCTTTCCTGCTTTTCGAACATTAAATATAAATCATCCAGGTTATGGTGTTCATACAAATATATCGTCTCGTCAATGGTGGACATTATTAATTGAATATACATTTAAAGATTATAAATTATCATCAACACAAGTTGAAAAATTAAGTCAAATAATTTATGATGAATTTGCCAAAGGTGAATTGTGGATTAAACATCCACAAGCAGATGATGTTTTAAAAGAATTAAGCAAAAAGAAATTACTTGGTGTTATTTCAAATTTTGATGAACGTCTTGAATCACTTCTTGAACAGCATGATGTACGAAAATATTTTCAATTTATTTTAACACCTCGAAATTGTGGATTATATAAACCACAAGTAGAAATATTTTCTCATGCTGCAAAATTAGGAAATATTAAATCAAATACTAATCTATGTCATGTAGGCGATGATATTAAACTTGATTATCGAGCAGCACAAATAGCCAATTGTCAAGTTTTACTACTTTGTAAAGATGAAAAATTAAAACAAAATTTATTAAATGAACATCAAGATATTGATAGAAATCATGTGATTTTGAATTTTAACGAAGTACTGAATATAATTATTTAGAAATCTATAGCAATTTAAGTTGATAATAAAACTATTTAACTATACGTGGTGATATACGATATTGATACATGTATTCCACTAAAAGAAATACTAGACCGCATCAGTTAAGTATTACCTTCTATTACTCATATGATTGATGATATTCATCTCTAGATGGTGTTAGATTAAGTTAGCATTATTACATGAGTCTATTGAATTGAAGAGAATTCAATTTTTGTTGTATATACCAAGAACAGATGTTTATCAGAAGTATGCGACATCTAGTGACGACAAAGATTTCCACAAATAATTTTATGATTAAATCATAAGTAAAAAAACGAGGAGATTTTTCGTTAAGTAAAATCTTGTTAAAATATTTTTCAAAGCATAAAAAAAATTTCAACTCAATCTTTCGATCTCAGTTGTTTAAAATGTTCATTGGTCAAAACGACCATCAGGTCTTTTCGTAAAATAACATAAGAAATATTTTGTTTATTTGTTCTGTTGAATCGTGTATTTTAAAGTTAGATTTTATAGAAAATTCAACTAAAAAAGTCTTCATTGTTTTTTTTAGATTTTTCTTTCCAACAGAAAAACAATACCGAAAAGAAAAAAAGAATAATGTCGAGCGAACATCTGGTTCTAAAAGGGGCCCTTGTCGGTCACAATGATTGGGTTACACAAATTGCAACAACACCTCAATTTCCTGACATTGTCCTCTCGGCATCACGTGATAAATCCATTATAATATGGCAATTGAATAATCAACATGATCCAAGTGGTGAAACAACTTCGTGCGGTGTCCCAAGCAAAGCATTACGTGGTCATTCGCATTTCGTTTCCGATGTTGTTATATCAAGCGATGGTCTTTTTGCTGTGAGTGGTTCATGGGACGGATCACTTCGTCTTTGGGATTTATCCGTTGGTACAAGCACACGACAATTTGTTAGTCACAAAAAAGATGTTTTAAGTGTTGCTTTTTCGGCCGATAATCGTCAAATTGTTAGTGGCAGTCGCGACAAAACAATTAAATTATGGAATACAGTTGGACAATGTAAAAAACTAGAAACCATTAATTTTTACATTTAAGAAAATATAACTGTTTTATTAATTTAGGCAAATATACCATTGTTGAGGATAATCATTCCGACTGGGTATCATGTGTACGTTTCAGTCCAAATCAAAAAGACCCACTTATTGTTTCAGCTGGTTGGGATAAACTTGTTAAAGTAAGATTTGCGTTTCTATGTTAAAATCTCATCTATTTAATAATTCTAAAAACAAAAAGGTTTGGAATTTAACCAATTGTAAACTACGCACAAATCACTGTGGTCATAATTCATACATTAACACCGTAACAGTATCACCTGATGGTTCATTATGTGCTAGCGGTGGTCGTGATGGTCAAGCTATGTTATGGGATCTTAATGATGGAAAACATTTATATACACTTGATAGTGGCGATGTTATCAATGCTTTATGCTTTTCACCTAATCGATATTGGTTATGTGCAGGTATAGAATAATGATTGTATACACATATCTATAGATAGATATAAAATCGAATATTTTTGTCGTTTAGCAAGTGGAACATCAATTAAAATCTGGGATTTGGAAACGAAAACAGTGGCCGATGAAGTTAAATCCGAAAAACAATGTACGTCATTGGCATGGTCTGCTGATGGCCAAACATTGTTTGCTGGCTATACTGACAAACAAATTCGAGTCTTTGAAGTCCGACAACGCTAAACGCAGCATTATGACAACAAGAATACAACAAGAATATTTAACATCATTAATAACAATAATTCTGTTTTTGTATGACCGATTCATCATTTTTAAGCTTCTTGTTTTTGTTGTCAGAAAAAAAAAGAATAAGAAAATGATTTCAATCCGTTATTAGTAAAATGGCTTCTGAAAATAATTCAACAAACAATTTTCGTTAGCCGAAAATAAAACGAAAAATGTTATTTAATATAGGCTATGTTGTTTTATTGAATATAATTTAAAGCAATTTGTTCTTTATCATTGAATTTACAAGAAAATAATGAAAAATATATAATATTCATGATGTCACGTCGTTCACATATTTTTTAATTTTTAGTTCAAAACAAATATCAGATGTTGGTACTATTTATTAAGTGTAGAATAAAAGGCTTCTTACAGACGCATAGAGAAAAATTAGACTCCACTAAAAAGTATAGAAGTTTTTGAACAGACAATATTAAATCTACGACGTAGGAGCTCTTTTTTTTGCTGTTCAATAATGAAACAAAAAATTTCACGTGCCACGGGCAGGAATCGAACCTGCGTCATCCGGACCACAACCGGATGTACTACCATTATACTACCGCGGCTTGGTGAACCTTGGCCAGATCACAGTATTTATCTGGGGAAGTCTTTCGAATAACTTTGTCACGGCAATATACTAATCATTATTGCGTACATTAAAAATAGGTGCGTTAAGTATTAAACTAATGACTTCTTTTTCGCATCTTGAATAAAAACGATTTTATTTTTCTGCTAAACTCATTTTCCCGTCCGAATAGAGTCAGCTAAATGAAATCCCTTCATTATTATTGAAGCAAATGAATCCGACATGACGTTTTCACAATGTTATTCTCTACTAGAAGAGCCAGCTGTGATATGATACATACCGAATCAAGATATCGAAATATCTGTCCTACTATCGAACATGAGAGAGCGAAAATTGGTCGAAGATTTTGAAATAGAAAAACAAAAGCTTTTTTTTAAAGCAGCCCGAACTTTGTGGTGTAAAGCTGAAACTAGCACTAATTACATTATCATGTTAATCTTAGTGGAAAATAGTGGTTCGGACAAATAAATTAGGGATGCATAATAAACGAAAGTAGTTTAAAACTTAGGAAGAAGACCTTCTAACTATTTCATTAGCATGGCCTGTTTTGAGAACGCGGTGACTACCTCATCCTCACCCTCACCCTCAAGATACACTTCGGACTTCGAGTTTCCGTTTAAGAAAAAAGCTTTTGTTCTTCTATTACAAAATTTTCGACCAATTTTCGCATCGATCCATTTTCTTAGACCCATCGAAAATATTGCTTAAATCTAGTAGTTTACTATAAAAAGTTATTTCACATGCCACGGGCAGGAATCGAACCTGCGTCATCCGGACCACAACCGGATGTACTACCATTATACTACCGCGGCTTGGTGATCTTTGGCCAGATCACAATTTTATCTGGGAAGTCTTTCGAATAACTTTGTTACGGCAATATACTAATCATCATTGCGTAGATTAAAAATAGGTGCGTTAACCTCCTGAATCCCGAGAATTCTTGCGTTCTATTCGAAGCTAGAGAAAAATAAAAATATCACTCTCTTTAGCGTTCTGTCGTTCTCAACCAGCTGTATATATGTTGCGTATTTTATCATGTCGCTTGGACTTGTACTATCGTCTTGATATTATGCTGTATTATATAATACGAAAGAAACAAAATATTTCGGAAGAAAAACAAGTCTTATGACATAGAAAGAATAGTTTTGTATTTTCACAGCGTCTTATATTTAAAATGGATAAAAAGAATGTTTTTGATACATTTCATAGTAAAATATAGTATAGACTAAAACATGATCTAAAAAATAGGAGCATAATATTGAATAATTATTGAACTAAATTTAGCTGATATTTTCTTCTTAGTTAGAAGAAAATAATCAGTAATCACCAATGGCTGAATGAACGATTCTCTATCATTTTCTGCTTTTTAAACATATGTTCAAGGATACGACAGAACGAAAAAAATATTCTTTCGTTCTGTTTGTCTTCAGCCTGAAGACAGCGGTCCTCAGGAGATTAAGTATGAAACTAATGACTTCTTTTTCGCATCTTGAATAAAAACGATTCTATTTTTCTGGTTAACCTCATTTTCCTGTCCGAATAGAGTCAGCTAAATGAAATCCCTTCATTATTATTGAAACAAATGAATCCGACTAGAGCCCGTCGGGTCCGGGTCGGTTCCGTGTATAACATTTTGTATTTCCCATGTCAGGGTCCGGGTATAAAAAATAATTTCAACCGGTTTCGGATCCGAATCCGGATCCAATTGAAAATTTTTTACTGGTCGAGTGCGGATGCAACGAGAAAATATCATACAAAAAATAGTTTTGATCACCCAGGTCGATCAAAACGGAACTCCGTTACGGTCCGTTTACCGGAATCAGTTTTACGGACCGTATCTCTATTGTAAAATAGCCGTAAGTAGTCATATTTTCACCGTAAACGATTTGGTATTACTGTGTTCAGTAAAGACACGTAGTATGAACCGTACATTGTGNACAACAAGCTAATAGGTTGTTCGGATTAACTGATGCTGTTGAATCATTTATAATTGATGCATTCATAGTCACCGCTTTTGAAGCAGTATCTGTTGTAATACGTGATATTGATGTACGTGCTAAGAAATCTCGTTTAACTAAATCAAACGCTAAATCTTTCTCATGTGGTTCTGCATCAAAGCGTTTAAGACGAGGATGAAGAAAAGTACAAATGTAATGCTCATCTAGTAGAATCCAAACATACCTTCTGCATTCATCTAAGATAATATAGTTCTCCTTTAAAGCTTAGATTTAAACTTCCATCTTTAAGAAATATAAGAGAGATCCCTTCATATACAGTAAAAAGTAAATAAATTCTTGTTCGTAATCATATACTTATCTACCCTAGTGAAACATCTTGTAAGTAAGATCTTGGCCAAGATCTTAGGTACAGATAAGTGAACAGATCTTGAAAATTTAGGTACAATATAATACGGTTATTTTGTACCAAGATCTTGAATGATACATTCTCAAAGCATGTTTGATATTTTTTCAATTTATTTTAATATTAATTATTCCTGTCCCGAATAACTCAAGCAAGTCAGATGTTGGGATCTGAGCGGCTTTAAGTTGGTCCGATATTCGCCAGACCAATTTAGGGTAGTCCTCTCTCAATCATCGATCGAGATCAGCATTCTCTCGAATAATCAATAATCGAGAAATTGTTTAGAAAAAAAATTATTTTGAAAAATTATGTTTTGCATGTTCAATCATGTTGCTTATATTCAGTCCTGTATGCATAAAAAAACGGTGAATGACTAGATAGCCTATCTAAATAAACTAATGATGTCGCTTTTTGTTTCGCTCAAGATCTTATTAGAAGATAATAGTACACGATATTTTTTCCATGATCTTGCCAAGATCTTAAGTACAGATTTATCTGATGCAACCAAGATATGTACATACAAATTATCTTTTTAAGATCTTAATAAGATCTTACTTACCGATCCCAAGATTTCCAGATCTTGCTTACAAGATGTTCGACTAGGGTAAGGGGCCAAACACACTAGAAAAAATAAAACTGAATTAAAAAATGCGATTGGTTAATTCAGATTTAAGTCATCTTTTTGAGGCAAATGAGTGGTTAATACAGTTTTAATTTGTCTAGTGTGTTTGGGGCCTAACAAAAGAAATAATATAAACACTTATTACGTTGCGTACATTGTTTCTTCTATCAAGAGTAATTGGCTAAGAAAAGAACCAATTATAAATGAATTTTTATAGACCATTAATGAATTATGTAGATATTAGAATGTGCTATTAGTCGGCGACTCTTAGGCCCCAAACAGACCAAAAAGATAAAACAGAATTAACGACTAAATCGTCTGAAAAAGATGACTTAAGTGCGAATTAACCAATCACGTTGCTAAATTCTGTTTTATTTTGTTGGTCTGTTTGGGACCTTAGTCGAACACAAAATTAAAGAAAAACATTGTATTTTCAAAATATCTATTAAAGTTAATTAAAAAATATCTTAAGATTTTCAAGAGTAGAATTGGAATCGACAAAATAATTGATCAATCAGTTATATTTGGACAAAACTTTTTTTTTTGATTTATCGGGTCCGGGGTCGGATCTGAGACTTATGATCTGCCGAGTTCGGGTCCGGATCCCGAACTTTCGATTAAACCCCTCCCCATAATAAAAGCCCATGGCCTTATACAGAGTCTCAGCACATCGTTATTTTTTCGGTGGCCATCTATTGAGGGCCAACTTTTGCCTAATTATTAATTTAAAAAATGAAAAATTAATTAATAATCTTAATTCTTTTTTTTAGAGTTTTTGACTGAAAAAACTACACTATTTACGATAGGAGAGTAAAGATTTTGCAAAAACACTGAAAAAACGGCTATTTTGCCATAAATATTTATTTATACTTATTAAAAATTCTGCATTTTTGTAATTAATTAATTAATTAGTGCAAGGCCTTCTAACAGAGCGCTTGAACTTTTGTCGTAACATGGCCTTATACAGGGGGTGGCCTTCTAATATAGGGTGACCGTCTATTCTGGAGGGGGGAGGGGTGGGCCGCGTTTAGGTTCGGATCCGGGTCCAAAAAATTATTCAGGCGGGTCCGGGATCGGGTTCGGGTCCGGGAATCCTAGGACCCGACGGACTCTAAATCCGACATAATGTTTTAACAGTGTTATTCTGGATTAGAAGCGCCAGCTGTGATATGATACATACCGAATCATGTTATCGAAATATCTGTCCTACTATCGAAAATGGGAGAGCGAAAATTGGCCGAAAATTTGCCATAGAGGAACAAAACCTTTTTTTTTAAAGCAGCCCGAACATTGTAGTGTAAAGGTGAAACTAGCACTAATTACATTATCATGTTAATATTTGAGGAAAATAGTGATTCGAACAAATAAATTAGTGATGCATAATAAACGAAAGTAGTTTAAAGCTTAGGAAGAAGACCTTCTAACTATTTCATTAGCATGGCCTGTTTTGAGAACGCGGTGACTACCTCATCCTCACCCACAACAACACCCTCAAGATACACTTCGGGCTTCGAGTTTCCGTTTAAGAAAAAAGCTTTTGTTCTTCTATTACAAAATTTTCGATCAATTTTCATATCGAGCTGTAAGCGACTGCTCGCTTTCTTTTCGTTCCATTCCTTTTTACATAGTTATGCATCTTTGTATCATTTCGTGTTGTTTTGGGAGGAGGATAATAAGATATGTATATGCTAGATGTCTGTGTTGATCTTCTGTTATCTCCCCATTGTTTTTTGTTTGCTGAAGGATTGAAAAAAGAATAATTGTAAACTGGCTTCTTTTTTGATAAATAAAAGTTTACATTTTGTGTGCCGTGACCGTTTTCTTGATTTACCGTCGTATAAATCACGTATTCAAAATTTTTAATGTCTTCTGATGACGACGAACATCCTCCCAAAGAACTTCTTCAACCACTTACGCAGTCACAACCTCCACAATCGCACGTCACTTCTTCATCCATGGCAACTCCAGACTATTCCACAGTGAAAAAACGATAGCAAATTAGCTTTTCTTCCCGTGATGAAGAAATAAAATATACAGAAAAGCTCTTAGATAATTGTACACTGTATAATGGTCATCCGGATAATTTAATGTCTTGGTTAAGAGACACAGGTGCATTTATTGTTAAAGAACGTTATCCAGAAACTGGTTATCCATTTATTATTCGTCATTTACTATCTGATGATGCACTTGATTATTATCCAGCTCATGAAGACATGATCTTCAATTTTTATGATCTTCGTAAACTATTATTACATAAACAAAATGTCTTAGCACCTGTACGTACCTTGCCAACCCTTGATTCCATCGCCACTTTATCTTTAACTACTGCACCTCCTGTTCTCACGTCTACTCAACTTCCTACTTCCACCACTGATAAAACAATAGCTATGACCACTTATACGTTCGCTCAATCGCTAGAAGATTTAACACAAAATGATATTAGAAAAACTATTATCGAAGGTTTACAACGAAACACTGCAAAGTTTACCGGCGAACATCGGCAAGATGTTATCAAATGGTTGAAAACTCTCGAGTTTAAATTCGATACAGCAGACATTCCAACTGCTAAGAAGTTTTATTTAATTCCACAGTTAATCGATAAAGAAGCACTTGATTGGTTTCAAGAAAATAAAACAAACTTCAGTAATTCCTGGAGCATCTTAGCTGAACATTTTAAGAGACTTTTGATTCTCCAAATCGTGCTAGAATTGCAATGCAAAAACTTCATTCTTATACTCAATCACCGCATCAAGATGTTCCAAGTTTCTGCAGCGAAATGAGAAAATTATTTTCTGAAGCCGACCCACAAATGAGTTCCACGATGAAACTAGAACTTTTATTGGCGAAAGTGAAGCCTGGTTATCGCCTCGATTTATTGAAACAGAAACCAAAAGACCCAACAGAATTCGAAAAAATGGCACAGGATATTGAAAATATATATCTTGTGAATGAAGCCATTGAACAAAATACTGAATTCAACATGTCATTTTCGTCTTCAACTTCCGCTCCTTTTTTCTGATGCACCTCATCCGGTTTCGCCGAATTACCAACAATCGTGTCGCAATAACAATTTTCTTAGCAATAACGGGTACACCAGTGCGTCCCGATACAACTCATCGTCCTTCGCCAGAGGTAATTTTTTACTACGGTTTTCTTCTAGAACTTCATTTAGACCAGATCGAACATCTTCGTATCAATCTTCTAATCGTCAACAGCGCGGTAGCTCTGTCAATTCTCGCAACACCACCCGTCAAAATCTGTTCAACTATCACTCTTCTTCTTTAACACAACAATCTCAACTTCAACCATCGTTATCAACGTCTAGCATTCCTCCACTTATGCCACCTTTGCCTTCGACTTCTTCATCACAATCACAGTTGTCTCAATCTCCTGCATCAGCTGCTACGTTAATCTGCCAATGGTGCTCTCAAGCAGGTCACTCAGCTCGGGGTTGTTCTTTTAAAGGATGGAGCCGGTGACGGATGGTCCTGTCTCCACCACTTCACCCTCTTATCCATCCAAACCTTTCATTCTTTATGCAAAATCAATCGTTAATCATGTTCCATTGCAAACTCTTATCGATACTGGTGCTTCCGCTACATGCATCAGCTTCAACACCCTGCAACGTATGTCTAATTTCCGTTATATCGATACAACAGTTTCTTCATTTGTTCTCGCCGATGGTGTCATCCCTCTTCAAAGCAACGGTTCAGTGGAACTTTCTATGCAATTAGGTAATGAACTCATCAAATTTCATGCTTTTGTTATTAAGAAACTTTGCGTCGATCTTATTATTGGCATGGACTTTCTGATCATATTTAATGCTAACATCGATGTGAAGTCTCAATATTTATCTCTGGAAACTTTTGGTCGTCGTACTTCTATTCGTCTTGACGAGCAATCTCGTCGCCTTTTACTTCCGCTTCACGCACGTCATGCAACTATTTATTGTTCCTCCTCATTCAACGATGGCTATCCTTGCTTCCACTCCAATTTCATCTTTATCAGCATATTTTATGCCTACTTCCAGCTTTATTGAACATCCAAATCTCTCGTCTACTCAATAAATTGTTACCGTTCAGCATCATCACTCACGTTTATTGGTTACAAATTCATCTGATACTCCGGCACATATATCGGAATTTTTCTGTTTTGGTTATCTACTTAGCAACCCGGTCGGATCACAGAATTTCTTTAATCAAATCGCGTTGCTATGTCGTCGTTACAACGAGAAGAAAAATCAACAGACCTTCAACCGTACCGTCACACATTCTCAGCTACCACAACGGCTTTTTAATGATTCAAAGCGTCTTTATCGACCGACCCCTTCGATTCACCATGTTACGCTCAATACTCTTCCTCATTTTTCTTCTTCTCAATTTCAACAAACTCGCGATCTATTAGTGAACCATCTACTTGATCGTGATAATAAAGATCGACTTTTGGCACTCCTTGCTCAATTTTCACAACTTTTCGACAATTCTCGTCACAACATATCTAACATTGTTGTCGAAAATGTTTTTAATACTGTTCCGCATTCTCCACCATCTTTCCGACCTCATCGAAATCGACATCATCGTGAAGAAACACAACGTCTTATTGAAGAATTTCTCGAAGCTGCTATGATCCAAGAGTCGAACTTGCCTTATGCAGCACCCGCGTTTATCGTTCCTCGAAAATACAATCGTCCGAGTCGACTCGTTGTGGATTATAGGGCGTTAAACAAAATTACTATTCCTGATGTTAGTCCTTTACCTCACATGGAAGATTTATTACAAGAACTTGGCAAGGGATACAAGTATTTTAGTCGCCTTGATCTGAAATCCGGTTACCATCAGTTTCGTATACCAACAGCTGATCGGCCAAAGACAGCATTCGTCGTTTCTCAAGGTCATTATGAATTTCGTGTACTTTCCATGGGACCACAAAATGCACCTGCGGCGTTCCAAAAGACTATGTACGCGGTGATGAAATCCTGTCGAGAATTCTGTCATGTCTTCCTCGATGATATCATCATTTGCTCCAAATCATTCGATGAGTATATCAACCACTTAAAATTAGCCTTTGAAGCTCTTGCCAAAGAAAAACTTGTTCTCAATGCTTCGAAATGCTAACTTGCTGTACAACGGGTTGTCGTACTCGGTCATACAGTCTCGGATACGGCTACTGCACCAACCACCGATGCAATCCAAGCCATTTTAGATTTAAAAGAACCACACACACTCAAAGAGACCAACAAATTCCTTGGTGGTATTGCATATTATAGAAAATTTGTTCCGCATTTTAGTCATATCGCGGCTCCAATACATAGAATCTCTAACTTAGCCAAAGATCGAAAGCATCTTTTCAAATGGACAGTGGAACATTCGAATGCATTCCATGCTCTCAAACATTTACTTACAACTGCCCCGCTTTTTCTTCATTTTTCTGTCGACGATTTTCCACTTCATTTAGCGACAGATGCTAGCGGTACTGCAACTGGAGGGTTTTTGTGTCAAGATGTCAATGGCGAACGTCATAATCTCTTTTATCACTCAAAAGTTCTTTCACCAACTGAACAAAAATATTCAGTTCCAGAAAAAGAAGCTTTGACTATTTATCATTGTTTACAATGTATGCGGACTTTAATTTTAGGACGAACTGTTTATATACATACTGATCATTGTCCCATATGTGGTATTGTGACGATTTCTGATAGAAGAGATGCCTGTGTTGATGGTATTACACTTTATTTGATTCTTCATATCATCAACCGCAAGCTTTTACATATAAAACACGCACTTATATATATGAGTGAGTAACAATTCATCGTGCACTCATAAGCTGTGCTAATGAAGGAAGAGATATAGGTGAAGGTAAAACAAGTGATACGATAAAGGAGATATTTGAAGCACATGCAAACACTGTCAAAAGGAACACAAAGATACAGCATATACTTTCCTTTGGTTGTCACAGGTATGTTACAAAAACCAGTGAACAATCGACGCATTGAACGTGTGGCCAATTTAATTCAAGAATATCGTATTGCCGAAATGAAACATATCAATGGTAAAAGTAATTGTCTTGCTGATTATCTTTCTAGACCTTCTGATTATCCACTTTTTGATATTGATTATGGCCTCGAAAGCAAACTTCCATGCTCAACCTCATCAAATTTAACCAATCCTTGCCAACCTTCGAAGAACATTGTTGCCTACATGACACTTCGCCCTCAACAAAAAATTCCTGCACCAGGTGTATCCAGCCTCGATCAAGAGGACGAAAGTTCCGATGCTACATCCTGTACTTCTGAAGATTCATTTACCACTTGTTCACCACTTATCACAACAACTCCATCTCCGAATGTTTTCGATTCGAATCAATTATCTCATGAACAAGCTCAAGATCCAACTATTAGCCGTAACATTTCTCAATTAAATCACAGCTCACATCCTGATTCTACTTTATCTTCTTCGTTTATTATCAAAAATGGTATTCTTCACAAACTTATTACTCTCACTCCTAAATCTAAACGCCGATTATGCGTGCCTTATCTTCCTTCGTCGATGATACAATCTCTTCTTACTGCAATTCATGATGATCCTTTCCAAAGTGGACATTTTTCGATCGACAAAATTATGTGGAAAATACGCACGCGTTATTGGTGGCCTCACATGAAGCAAGACGTCCACAGTCACGTTCAAGCATGTGTCCTGTGTCAGCAATATAATTATTCGCGCCAAAAGAAATCGGGCCATCTTCAACCCATTCCACCGGTCGCTATCCCGCTCTCTGTAACTGGAATGGATTTTTGTGGCCCATTCGCTGAATCACCTCGTGAAAATAAATACGTCCTGGTCGTCACAGATCTTTTTACGCATTTCGTCACTGCTATTCCGTTGCCCACCAACACTGCTGGCATTACTGCATTAACCTTATTCCGTCACATCTTCTGTCGATTTTGCGTTTGTTCCACTTTAATTACAGATCAAGGAACTCATTTTAATAACAATCTTATGAGCGCATTACAACATCTTCTTAGTTATAATCATATTCTTGGCGCTCCTTATCATCCACAAACCAATGGCGTTGTAGAACCTTTTAATGCGTCGATGGTGGTTCAAATTTCCAAACTTCAACAGAAACATCACAACAACTGGAACGATTACCTTGATGCCGTTGTGTTTGCGTACAATAGTTCGAAACACAAAACAACACAGTACTCTCCATTCGAGCTGTTCTTTGGTCGGTCTCCAAAACTTCCCATCGATTCGCCGCCACAGTATTACCAATTTGATCGTCCTAGCAACTATTTTGTACATCTTCAAAAAATTTTTCAAGTTTATCATCAGCAAGCAAAGTTGAATATTATGAACCAACAACGTTACCATGAAAAGTATTATGATTACAATCGTCGGGATCCTCATTACAACGTAGGAGATTGTGTTTTCACAAAAATCTTCGCTGCTCGGGGAAAATTAGACCCACGCTACTCGACCGAGCCAAAGATTATCGTTCAAATTAATCATCCCACATATACTGTAAGGCATGAACCAACTGGTCTTGAGCATCGTTATCATGTCTCTGACTTACGGCCAGTCACCTTAACTTATGTCGACAATGATTCTATTTAAATTTTTTCCAACTACATCATCAAATACAAACAATTTTACTTGATAATACCTCAACCAACCGTTTATCAGTTCGATTCATCAATTGTTACGCGTTGGCAGTTTTAAAACATATCGTTAACTTTTTCTCGTTAATTTTGTTTTGCCTATCTCTCATTCATCACATTCGTATATCTTTCTTTTGTTTATTACATGCTTCGCATTCTTTAACGTTCTCTATTCATTTGTATGGTATTCGCCTCAACTGCTATTGTTCCGTGTTTTTCTTGCCTTTATCATCACTTGTGCTGCGTATTGTTCATGGCGTTTAGTTTATTGTTCATCATTAGCATAAGTATTACTCTTCCATCTTTATCATTTGGTGGTCTACAATCTTGGTTCTGTGGAACTTGTACTGTGTGTCATCCTTGTCTCGCATGTGAATCGCATTTAAACATTTCTCCCAATTGTGAATGTCAGAGGAATTTAAACAACTATAACTGTCACTGTATTACGAATCAGAACTTTAAAGACTATCATACCTCGTCGAATCTTCAACAAATGTCCAGTCAACATAACATTCATGCTACTCAAATGAATAGTAACAATCTCAAACGTCATTTACTTGGGTGGATCATCGGCTTATCGTCTTGTACTATTTTTTTATTATTTCTTATCGTGGTTCTTATTCTTTTTGCACCTACATTGTTACGTCGTTACACTACTTGGCATTCCAAGATGAAGCTTACACGACGGGCCCGCTTCATAACAAAGTTTAATCTGGTCGACCGTTCTGCACTTCCATCCGTCCAATCGTCTTACGACGATCTTTTAAAGCAATTATCTGAACAAAAACAATAGCTCGAAAAATTTACACGTGAACTACCAGCTACGAACAGGTCATTAATTACATCTTCCAAGATTTTTTAAAATATGTTTTCACGTACTCATCTATGGCGTTCTGAAGCTTCTTGGGGAGGGGAGGGGGTGTAAGCGACTGCTCGCCTTCTTTTCGTTCCATTCCTTCTTACATAGTTATGCATCTTTGTATCTTTTCGTGTTCTTTTGGGAGGAGGATAATAAGATATCTATATGTTAGATGTCCGTTTGTTTATCTTCTCTTATCTGCCCATTGTTTTTTGTTCGCTCAAGGATTGAAAAAAGAATAATTGTAAACTGGCTTCTTTTTTGGTAAACAAAAGTTTACACGAGCAATTTTCGTATCGACCAATTTTCGTGTCGATCCATTTTCTTAGACCCAGCGAAAATATTGCTGGAATCCAGTAGTTTACTATAAAAAGTAATTTCACATGCCACGGGCAGGAGTCGAACCTGCGTCATCCGGACCATAACCGGAGGTATTACCATTATACTACCGCGGCTTGGTGATCTTTGGCCAGATCATAATTTTTTTTTGGGGTGGTCTTTCGAATAACTTTGTCGCGGCAATATACTAATCATCATTGCGTAGATTAAAAATAGGTGCGTTAAGTATTAAACTAATGACTTCTTTTTCGCATCTTGAATAAAAACGATTTTATTCTTCTGGTTAAACTCATTTTCCTGTCCGAATTGTCAGCTAAATGAAATCCCTTCACTATTATTGAAACAAATAAATCCGACATAATGTTTTAACAGTGTTATTCTGGATTAGAAGCGCCAGCTGTGATATGATACATACGTACCGAATCATGTTATCGAAATATCTGTCCTACTATCGAAAATGGGAGAGCGAAAATTGGCCGAAAATTTTGCCATAGAGGAACAAAACCTTTTTTTTTAAAGT